CTCGTCATGAATTTACAGTTGATTATGCTGCAAGTTTGGCTAGGCCTGTGGTGAGAAAGGACAGAAGTGGATCTATGAGAGCTTGAATGACATTGACCTGTCTATTTGATCGTCGTTGTATGTTGGATGTTCTTGATTTGAAGTTACATACTTACATTTGCATGTTCTATTTTGAGAGAGTGAGTGGTTGGATTCTACTGAACCAGTTCATATAATATATTTTTATTTTTGTTTTTTATACTATTTAAACTGTGTCCTGTAAGAAAACAAATTCTTTTATAGTACGATATTTTCTATTTTTTATTATTAATTTTTAAGAATTTGATTTTTAGAACAATTCAATGTACCAATCTAAAATGCAATTTAAACGAGTAGTTTTTGTTTATCTGATTTAAATGCACCTATTAGTTACCATTAAGTATTAACTATAATTTCTAAGGAAAATTTATCAGTCAATAACGGGTTTAGAATATTAATACATTAAACCTAAAGTATTAAGTATAATAGTATCTAGTAAAATCTATAAACTTATAATTGTGTGCAGATAGTTTTTAAAATCATAAATTGTTAATAGGTACTTAGTACCTACATAATAGTTTTCAAGTTATCATTAGCTTTCACATTATAATCCAAACCAACTATTACAGACTATTATTCTTAACACACAACAATTTAAGACTCAAAAACTACTACCCCAAATTTTTATTTAGATAGATCAATGGTTCAAAAAAAAAAATCTGCTTAACAATTATTTAAAGTAAAAAAGTGGTCATTGTTTTAAAATTGTACGGTCCTTATGAGCATACTTATTACTTATAAGTGATATAAAAATAAGAAAATTTGATAATAGGTACGTATTTACAGCACGAGTCACTTATTATTAAAGTATCGTTCAAATGTCGTCTGAATTTGTGAACGACTGACTTTGTCGCAAAACATGATAATCATAATGTGTTCCAGACAACTGGGCAATAAAATTAAAACATAGGAATAAAATATTTCCCTCATTTTTAAAATTATACAAGTACAAAAAAAAGAACAGAATTTTCAAATTTAATATTTGGGATAATTGTAACATAATGTTGACAAGAGTTTCAGTGGCACTATCTGCTAAAGCCAAAAATAAATAATAATTAGCAAATGCTGCAACTCTCCAGCACTGCTTATAAGTTATAACACTTATAACTAAAGACCGACTTTAATTGACATTGACCTGTATTTGCAGTTTGCACACAAAATGAATCAAATCTGATCAAATATTGTGTTGTATAATATATATGTATCAACCTGAGTTAAGTACTTTCTGCATATTTCATTCCAGAACATAGTGTTTCTTTGTACAAACATATTTTAAGTAATATATGATATAACTGTAAAGAACCTAATTATTTGGAAATCTATTTTATTATCAATTCTAATACAAAAATTTATTTTTTTTGTTACAGGATTTTTTTGGTACAATATTATAGAGGTTAGAGATTGGCAATATAGTTACGATTTTCACGAGCTACATAAATTAATTTTACTCTAGGGTGTTGAATGTTGATGCGTTTGATTATAATTTAATACTATTTCAATTTAAAACCAACTAGAAAAATAGCATAACAAAGCTGCAAGTTTATTCATGTAAATCAAGATCATGAACAAAAATTGTTTTCTAGTTATTTCGGTAATAATGAATTGCTTAATTCAGCAACTAAGAGTTCACGGTCACCCTATAAACGGCGCAGCACAACATGCGCTGGACGAATTTCTTCGTCCGACTCCATATTGAGCGACGCCGTTTAGGATTTATCAGGTCACTGACCAATTCCTGCTCGTTGCCGTCACTGCATTCTGTTTCCCGTTCCGGGTGGTCCATCAGTCCAAAAGTTATATGTATATTTGGCGCTGAGGACCATCGACTCTGCGCTGAACAGTCTTCATATATTCGCTTGTCTCCCGGACTTTGGGCAATGTTGCTGGTAGTTCGGGCGCCGACTGCACGGAGGTATACGATAACGCATTAACTGCTTTCGGTGTATCCATCGAACTCATAGCACCATTATCCTGCAACGACGCGTTGGATCCTGCGTCCTTTTGAACGGACATCTCGAGGTCCGATTGACTGAATGGGGGTCCGTTTTGTTTCAGCATGTCAGAAATCTTAAAAAGCTTGTAGAGCAGCTCTACCGGAGCGGACAAACACTGGTGGTAGACTTCGGAGTCTCCTGCTGCGGCTGGTTGATGACAAGTCGTGGCCACGTTTGGCGTAGAATCGTAGACTCTTTTCAACCTTAACCTAACCTAACCTCGGCCATGTTCCAACTAATATCAAAAATTTAGTAGGAATGTTGAACCTTGCCAATCTCAGCTCTTCAAATATCCTCTTCATCTTTTCGCGTTCTGTTAACTCCAGTGTTACGGTGTCGTTAGAATCTACGGTAGACATGTTTAGTATATGACTTAACAGCGTACAACGATACAACAATTAATAATACTCTGAATGTATAGAACACGATGCGTAAGTAGATGCTTCAAGGTAGCTTAGCTAGTGGGTAGTGATCAATTCGTTGAAATAATTTCGTGTTATAAAAATAATTTATACTAGTCAAATCCATCGATCGATGTTTTGTTGATTTTGTATCGGCCAGAAAAATATTAGAAACTCTATTAAAATTTAAATCTTTATATATGTATATAAAATAACGGGTCTTTTTTATGTACCAATTTTGTGACGACGCTATTTAACTTTTTTCCATTTTTTTTTTCACAGAACTGTACCAAATACCTTTCTAAGTGCCACTCGTCACCCGATTTTCAAAATATTAGAACGTATATCATTTTTAAATGTTTTGTCACAACAACATCAGATAATAATTATTAAGTTATAACAAATTTCAAAAATCAGAATTCAAATAAATTCCTTACTAAAGGATACAATTTATGATTGGTAACATGATTGGTAAATCACTCAGTGTTAAACATAGGTATCTACACTTATATAGTTATATATTTTATTTCTGTTATTTTAATTTTGTATACTTATTAGTTATTATATTATTATCATAGAAATATGAAGTGTGAGTTGTCCGTTAGGTACTCTGTGTTTTTTGTTGTGATTTATTTTACACAATTCTTTCGGTAGATGTCGCTATAATATACGGTGAAATGAATAAAAAAGATCTGTGGTTTGTAATAATATTATTATAAATTACAATATGGATAGGTAGTGAATATGTCTAATAACACATAATGAAACATTCAAACATGAGAATAATATATTTAGGCCATAAGGTTATAAGTATATTATGGTAAATAGCCAATTTTTGTGTATTGATCAATATAATATTATACAAACGGTGTCATATAAATTACGTTTATTCATTACTTTTATTTTACTATGAACAACTTATTGGTATTTTCAGCAGGTACTAGATTTGTTTTCCATTACATGTCCCGTAACATAAATTATGATTTTAATTTTTAGTAATACTATATTAATATATTATAGTAAATAGTACCAATGAACAAACACAAATATATATAATACTAACCATATGTATTATGTATACAATTATTCAATGATGATTGATGTGTATTCATATCATAGGTAGGTACACTTAAAGAGTCAAATTAATTAATACTACATAAATTCTAGAATATAATATAGTATAATATGTAAATTTATAAAAAATTTCATATCCAATAAAGTTAACATAGACGACTTTTTCTAATTATTTTTACTCTGTATCTTTTGTAACCATAATTATAATTAGGTATAAAGAATAAAGATTATTAAGTTCTTTATAACCACTTATTAGCCACTGGTCGAAACATCAAAATACCAAGCTAATATTTTTTTTAGATCTAACCTCGATATTTAGATTAAAAACATTTTTTTAGATTTAAATTACGACGAAAACGTGAATGGATCATAATTAATCTGTTTTATAATGAGGCAATATTATACTTTATCGTTACTTCAAAATGCAATGATAATCTTTGAAGTAATTCTCTTGTCAAAGAACTTTTAGTTGTTACGTTATCATTTTATTTTTACCCTAAATCCTTTAAGCGTATGAGAAAGAAGAAATAATCCTGGAGCTATAGTCACGTTGTATAAATGAAACCAAATTTTTAATAGAGATAGATGATACAGCATTTGTACAATAACAGCTTTATTTTTTTGCCAAAATCTTAAGGGAATTTCCTTGAATAAAAGTTATATGGAAAAAGTAATGGATGCTACAACAATATACTCGTATACAAAATTATATAAAATAAAATAAAAATACAGCAATGTTGTAAAAAAAAGTACCTAGTCAACCGCTCTGTTGTTTAGTGGGTTCTATTCAACCCACAGGTATTACCTTGGGTATCATTTGACGCTATTTAGATGTTTATCGGCAAATAGTATATAATATGTTCGCTACAAACGCTAAAAGAAATATTAAGAAATTACATGTACCACTAACATACCTTTCTTTGCTTTATGTGTTCAATTTGAATTTAATGCTAAATCATTACTATCTCGAAGTGTCAGCTAGATCCAATTTTCTACCAGAAACCACTCTCAAAGTTGAAAATCAAAACAATTTTACAACCAAAAGGTACATTTTTTCCAAAAGGTGATAATAGACACGAACATTTTTTTTTAAGAGCATTGTAAAAATCAAATACATTTAACGATCCGCTCGGAATCTATGATATTTACTTATAAAAACGCTATAAAATATATATTTTAATATTATTTTAACATTTTTTAAAAATGTATAAATAATAAATATACCTGTATATGCCTTTTTTACTGTTTATAACTAATACGTCTTTTGGCTTGGATTTTTGTAAATCAAGATACTATCAATTCTAATGTAGGTGCATTTAAGCATTTATTGAGAGTACATAATAATATCATTACATACTATTATGAGCATATATATATATATATTATAATTTAAGCAATAATTCTACAATATAATTACAAATTAAATCTAATAGGAATAAATATTTTTCGCTGTAAAATATTTGATGTTGAATTAAAATTTGTACAAAACATCATTGTTAAAATCTGCTACTTAAAAGTTACGAATTATAACAAGCAATTAAATAAAACAAACGAAAAGAATACATCAAATAATATGATGTATTATTATTTAACTGCATCTATCACATTTGTTGCCGCATTAGTAGTATTAGTAATATTGCAGTCGTAACGATCTGAGCACCATGCCGCCCAATTTTCAGGGTTATCCGACTTGTTATAAATCACATTATTTACATCGGAATACGCTTTGAGATATGTTTCTAGTTTTTCATTTGGAATGACCTTTGATACTCGATAAAGCATCCTAAAATAAAAAAGTTTATGCTAATAACTGTGCAATAAAAAATATAAGTATTTAAATACTTAACAATAATAATATAACATTATTGTTATGTTTCAGATTAAAAAATGTTCAATTTATTTTAACCCAGCGATATGAATTTCATGTCAACCAGATAGTCAAATCATACGTATAATAAAAACAAAATATTAATTTCACTAACAATGACTATAATATGAATGTGTATGGTAATACATAATAATGATGTATAAAAAACCGATGCATACATTTGCAGACCAAAGCATTGGATAATGGTTAGTAGGTATAGAATGTCATGACAAATGGTGTAACTTGAAGAAGTCTTTTTCTTTTTTTTTTTTCTTTGGGAGGGGGCAAGGTAAGATATATCAATATTTTTTACTTATTGTGTCTAAAAATATGATGGTGTAGGAAGTGACACCCTACTAGTTACTAAATACTAAGCAGACTGCAGAGTTATGTTATATATTCTTAAATATCTTAGACAGTTTTTGTCGGTGTTGCCATACAGAAAATGGCAAAAACAGTATAGAGATCATAGACAAATTACTCATTAAGAGAAAAGTGTAAATCTAAGACTCTGAATCATTTTCTAGTATTTATTCTGTTAAAAACATAAGTTTCTAGATAATTGGAATTAGGTATTTATAACATCAAAAAAACATAAATTTCCCCATTGGGTAAGACATTGGATCTTGAACATATTGTTTGAACTTCTAGGAAATAATTAAAATTAGAGTTAATTGTTGTACATTATTTAGGCGTTCATATAGTGACCAATAATAAAGGCAAGTGTTACGAAAAACGTCTTACGAATTTAATATGGACACCCGGTTATATACGTTTTATTTAACCAAAAGGCATGACCATAAACTTAATACATATTATTATAGTTAATAAACTTATTACCAATTAATCCAAACCGGAAGTATGCCGGCCTTTTCAACAACAGCCATCCGACATGCTATTCTTTCTACGCACTTTTCCGAGTCCAATACCTTCTGAAATACGGTCAGGGCCGGGTCGAACAGCTCCAACATCTCCAATCGGCGTTTATCGTGTACTGGCGAGTCTTCCGGTTTATTATTGTGCGATGACGTCAGGCCTCCGTTTTTTGCGACCGCCGTGCCCGGGAGCCCGGTTGGATCAGTGTATAATTTCGTGACCGCGGTCGCCGATACTGGTACGGCAATCGGTTCTGTTAGAAATTCGATTAGACGTCTCGGAATGGACAGGATCCCGCCGACAAGCATCGGAGCCGAGAACAACGACAGGAATATTGGCAGCAGCGTAAGCAGGACAAACGGTACCATTAGTAACTTGAACAGCTTCATCAGCTTGGAGATCAACAGGAACTTGAAGAAAATGGCGATTAGGAACATCTTGAGCTTGAACACGAGCAGGAACAGGATCTTGAGGAACCCGAACGCCTTGAGCTTCGCCAGCCCGATCTTGACCAGCGCCAGTATGGTAACCTTGTGCCAGTCGATTTTATCGTAGATCATTTGCACCTGCTGGTGAAAGTTGCTTTGCATATTGTACTGTCCGGCGGGACGATGGCCGTTGGCGTACGCCGGTGGCATGTTGTTGTTGTAGGTCACGTGATGTTTGTAACCCGGAGCCACCACCTGGCCGGCCGGATAGGGATACGGCGCGGCCATGCCGTACGGCGGCCGGCCCATGGTCGGCGCCACGTTCGCACCGTAACCTCCCGACTGGCCGGCTGGGCTCCATCCGGTCCCCTCGTTGGGGTTACCGACCGGTCTGTTGTAGGCCACGTCGTACGAATCGTGATAACCGGCCGAGCCGTCTTCTTCGGCCACCGATATGTCCGTGTCGACAGCCGAGTAATCGTTGTATCCCAATTGTCTGCAATAATAAGGTGTGTGTAAGACGGTGGACGGATATGATTTGGTTCCCAATTATCGAATTGGTTCCAGGGTTGTCTACAGGTAACATACGAATTGGTTCCTATGAACTGAAAGCCATAGGAAAAAAGGGGTTTTTGGAAATTAAGTATATTTTCATAATTTTAATTGGAATAAATAAAACCTGATTAGTTTTTAAAGTATGTATAGTATCTACTTAGTAAATTTAACATTATAAATAATAATATCTAAAGCTACTTGTGATTTATTGTATTCAATAAATTTAATAATAATATTATGTTTAGGACCTTTCATCAAAATATTTTGTCTTATTATATCGACAAAAAAATAAATTCGTATAATATGTGATAAAATGGGCGTTGAGGCGTTTTAGTATTTCGGATCGTATACATAGGCACTTAACAAGTTATAAGTAACACTTGGAGTAAATTTCGTACCTATTGTTCAAGTGATAAACATCGGCGTCGACGATAATGTTGGCCTCGTTATCGTCATTGTCGTCATCGTCTTCCACGATGGCGACGCCGTTACTGCCTCGGTGATTGGACGGGTGCGGTATTTGTCCTAGCAACTTTCCCCGGACTACTATTGGCGACGCTCTTCTGCCGGACACCAAAGGTCCGAGTAACTTGACATGATTGTCACCGATTGACCTGCTGGTGGCTAGCTGCAAGGGTTCAGCAGTAATCGTAGTAGAAGTGGTGGATGTTTGGTTTTCGTTCTTCGAACTATCATCTCCCCGGTTTGGTTCCGGGGTTACAACCTGGACGATCTTCCGCACTTCTACCAGATCGACTGTCACTTTCGGAGTGACGGTGTCGGACGTCACGCTCACCGACGAAAGTTTGCCTCGGCCCCGGAGTTCCGGGTTGTCACCGGTCTTGTTGTAAACGGTTCCAGGGGTTTTTGTCATCGCTTGACCGGAACGGATGCACAGGAGAGTCACGACGGACGTCACCACGACGATCGCCAATATCTTTATGACGTTCATGGTTGACAGCGCGGGTTGGTCCTCCTCTTCGCTGGTCGGTGTCAAGCCTGCAAAACAACAATACTCTTTAGAATGAGAACTATTCACGAGTCCATCAAAAATAATATATTATTATTATACTTCTGAATCCGATATGTCTATGCCGATCTGCGAACTAAAACAACACACGTGCCATTGCACAGTATAGAGAATAGGTAAGTAATAAATGTAAGTGAATTCGAAGTATACTACAGTAATACTTTATACACGCATGTGAGGCGCGTCCGTCACGCGGAAAGTGAAAACTGTTGCACTTTTTAACAGTTATTATTCGACGGCATAAATCATAACGTTGCAATATAGCCAAATCATTATTAATAATAACAACAATAATAATATTATATTATTTCAGCTGATTTCGTCCTATAGGATATACCTATATAGGATGTATAATAATACTACAACGAAGGTTTTTCACTCGATTTCATGAGCGCTGCTGACACAGTCTGTAGAGTTGGAAATTCGTCCGACTATTGTTATCGCCAGAAGACAACAATATAACCGTTTAATTAATCACTGAATGATATATTAACGAATTTGTAACATGTTCCGCCGTATGATTACGTTTTACGTCGTCGACACACGGTCCTAGGAACATTTGTTTTCTAAGAAAACCATAACCACACAACCGATAGAATAATAGCTCAAATGCACATTTTTGAAAATGGATTACCAGAATTTCGTGATTTTATCTATAATTATTAAAATAAGTGGTGTGCCAGTAAAAATCACAAAAAATAAACAGTGAAAATAAAAATAGCGAAATGTTTTAACAGCGAAAACAATAATAGCGAAAAGTAAGACATTCTTCTAGTAGACATACTAACGTAACATAACTGTAAGAAAATGACGTGTGTAGGTACTATTACCTACTCCTTAATTGAATAATCAAAATCTCACATAGGTAGCGAAATTCTGTATTTTGGGTCTCGAATAACTTAATTGGACAAGTAGTTTAACTATTACTAAATCCGTAGTCATCCATAGCCTGAGTTGTTTGGTCAGTGGAAACTCTCCTGATTTTTCAAACTAAAGGAAATGTGCAAACTCTTCCAGGTCAACATTATGTTTACGTTACCTAAAGGAATTATTTTTGTTATTATTACTTACTATAGTTTATGTACATAAATTACTTTTTAAATTTGTATATTCATTTCATTATAAAAATTCAATATAAATGCACATAACATTTAGCTATTAGTATATCGGCCATAATTATATCTCACACAGCTGAAGAAATGTATTATTTACTATTTTATAATGTGTAAATATAATAATTTATCACATAAAATTTAAAAATTTTGTTCATTTATATATTGTACTTTTATTATTTTTATTATTAACTACGAAAATTAGGACAAACTAGAAAACTTAAGGTGATATATAATTGTCTATAATTATTTATTGTACATGTATTATTTTTATTAATATTATTATTGTCTTTAATGTGTATATTATAAGGTACCCAATTCTCAAGTTCAATCTTAAGCAAATAAATAATTATTGTTTTAGAAAAAGGATTTGTAATAATTGTTTTTACTGTTAGAACATTTCTTAATTTTTATTTTTGCTATTTATTCTTCATGATTTTTAACTTTTGCTATTTTTAAATCGCCTCGAATAAACTTAAGGTTAATGTATATAATATGCCTGCACTAGTAATATAGGTATAATATACATAATAATATTATATTTATTACTTGATAATATCCTTGTTATTCATATTAATTTTAAACTGATTCTTTTATTATTATATTTTATGAATGTCTAACATATTTATTTTTACTCGTTTAAAGTTGACTGTCTTGTCATTACACTAATATCATGAGACATTTTGAATTATTAACCTACGATCTAAATTTATCAAACTGTCTATGGATACAAATTACAAACTAATATTGAATTATTACAAATTTTAAATCTAGTTTTTATAATAATGATGATATTATATAGATCTAATATTCTATCCAGAATAAACTATGGTCAAACGTTTAATACCACTTAACAGTGAATTTGTTAAGCTGTATCATTGGTTACATACTCACATGTAAGCCCATTCATTAAACCAAAAGTATATTTTCAATGAAAAATATATAAATGAATAGGATGTATATATTTTTTTCGGTATATTTGTGTGTGTATAAAAAATAAATAATATTATTGGTTAGCTCATACCGTGTTGTACTAGCCTCACGATTGGGGTAAAAAAAATATAAAATTTTCACGAACATGACCGTCCAACAACAATAGGCACTTTCACATTATATAAGGCAAATAAAAATAACAATCGTTGGATATATATATACATTTTTTTTGTATTGGTGCTTCTCTGTATTTGTAAAACTCGGTCATACACGAGGGTCGGAATCGTTTGTAACTATATATTGACTATAACGATGTTTTTTTTAGACTTTTTGCAGAAATGATCAGAGTAGATATAAACTATAAAAAAACTATAAAAATATTTATTTTTTTGCGATTTCTGTAAGTACCTTTGTATACTTTTTATTGTTATCAATTCTGTAAAATACTGTTCAAAGAAGAAAAAATCGTTAAAACTAATCACCATTGGTTGTTCCTTATTTATCTTAAAACCATTGAACTAGTGACAAATACATTTTTTTTTATTACTATTCATAGTGGGTATACTTTATAATATGATAAGTTATAAACTCATAACTAATAACTAATACGTAGAATCGCTAACCATGTAATTAATAATAGTACTTAATTAAATATTTGTAATTTTAATAATAAATTACCATTCGATTCAATATAGTTACCAACTATTAAAACATTGAGGTATATTTCAAACTTTTCATGAATCATCAAAAATGAAAAATATCTTATATAAATAGTATGTTACATACTTATTTAAAACAATAAAATGTATTAAAAAACATGTCATTGATTTTATATATTCGTTTATATGTATAGCTATGTTTGAAATGTATTAATGTTTTATATGATGAGACTTAATTAATTTAACTGACAAAAATTGGTTTAATATCGTATGAATGTGTGGTGGGTCAATTTTAGTTTGCTTATGGGTTATTTTAGGTTCGTATCGTCACCGGATAGGTATAATGTAACTGTAAAATAAGTACATTTAAATTTATAAAAAAGATAATTTGAGTTTTCGTAATCTGACTTGAAGAAAATAAATTATTGTGTATTTACAAGTGGGTGCTTATAAATTATAATAGTTGAATATAATAATAATATGCCATAATGTGGGTATTATATTATTATTATGGCAAATCTGGTACGAGTGTTAATTTAATTGTAAATATTGCATAGCGTATAACTCGATACAATAAAACCAATTTTAAATTAATGTATTATGATTTTTTTATCAGTAATACATCTTAAACCTAAATAAATATACAAAATAAATAAACTAATTAACATGTTCGTTGTTGCTCTAGATTACATGGATACAACTTAAACATTAGTTGAGTAATAACCATTGTAAGTTATAACTATGTTTAAATTTCTTAACAATTCGATAACTTTCGATTATATTATTTAACTTCATTCACACCCCCTGTGTCTATTAGAAACTTATACATTGTAATCAGATGTCAATATTCAAGCTTTACTTTATTAAATTGGCATTTTGCCAAATCGGAAAAGAACGGATTTCTTTTCGAAATCGATAAGTATGTAGAAACAATCCTTTATTCAAAATTTAAATGTTTTTTGTTTATTCTACTGGTTAGACTATGAGAGAGGTTTATCTCGAATACCCAAGAAAAGAGTACATGAAATCAGTGTCGTACCATTTAACATGGTATACATATGTTTTTTCTAAACATATTACATGTATATAATAAATAATTATTATCTTGGTGTTATAAGACATTTTATTATAGAATTTAGCTGTATAATACTTGCCTCAATAGCCAATACGTGTTAGATAATAGTAAATATCGAAAGGTATTCAATTGTGTTCAGAAAAAAAAATACAACACTAACAAAATAATATTCACTGAACTGGTAAGTAAGTAGTGCTTTAGTCCTCAATATATTATAATGGCAGAACTGTGCTTTTAATTTATTACGTACATTTCCTTAGCTCCCCACAATAAACTTAATCGCTAAGACATCAAATAAAATGTCGGTACAGTAATGCACCATTATACATTTTGTAAGGGTTTGCTTTTTTGGTTTCTATTTATTTTAAAAGTATTTTTCTATATGTATCAGTGTATGTGTGGTTAGTGACTTCGTTATCCCTTATTTAGTATAAAAAAGGCAGTACTCGTTGTATTGCTATGAAATAAATTCAACTAAATGTTCTTGTTTTATCTCATTTGATTTTTACAACCACATTATTATTTGATACGGGGTAAAAATGTTAAAGGACACCACACCCACAAGTGTTGTCTCCGTCTAACAAATGTGAACTTTTATGCGCGGGAAAGAACCATGAAAGCTACCTACGGCCATAACAGTCAAGAAACGACATTTTCACCACATAAAAAGGACTTTGGCTGTGAAATGAAGTTTTTATTTTTCGATATTGGAATTACAAAAAAAGCTAAAAAAGCATAAAAAACACAAAAATAATTGAAGCAATTATGATTTTGAATAAAATTGATAAATATTGATTTTGAAACAATAAGCACATTTCTTGTAAAGTTAAATAAAAAATATGAGAACGACATTTCACAGATAATGTTCACAGTTATATTGTGTATCAATTTGGAGCCGTGACTATCACAACAGCCCGATTGGTTCTAACCAAGTTTTTGCTATCTTGTACATTTTTAAGATGGAGAAAACACACGTGAGTGTATTAGCGTCTTTTTAAGTGCACCTACAAGGCTTCAACTAGAAATCATTCAATTCTGATCATATGTATTTTTTCGATGTGCACTCAATTTTAACCATTTTATAATGAGCCATCGATACATTATAACGAATGATGTTTTGTCATATGGAATTATGGATATAAATATATAATTTACAAAATTATTTATCATTTTATTGACAAAAATTGTGTTCGCATTCAATGGTTAGATCAGTGTTATATTTAAACTAAGTGATTATAGATAATTAAGTGAGTAAATATTTTAAGTTGGTGTCAATAAAAACTACAGTCCTGAGGCTAGGAGCTGCTTTTATCAAAGAAAACAATTTGAAAGAAGAAAATCAAACGCTGGTAATAGAAAAAAATATTTTTAGAGATCAAAAGTATGAATTGATTTTAAACTTGTAATTAAAAAGGACTTTCAATAGTTTAAATAATTGTAATTTGTATATTACAGAAATTACGTGTATATAATTGAAGAAATGTATCGTATTGGATTTAAAAATTGTTAAAATTATATTCGACGTGACCAATGGCCATACACGATTCAACATCAATGTAATTTTCAACAAATATATATACCCTCCATTTTATCTTAAAAATATAACTACGTTCTTAAATAATCCAACATTGTTATCATAATGGCAACTTATATTATAGCTCCAGTCATAATTTAATAAATCGAGTACGAAATTCAATAGTTCTGAAATGATAATTCTTCACAATACACATAAGCATAATATTGGAACATGTATGGGTTCTGATTTCATGTTTAAAATATTAATGGATTTTTTAAGTTTGATGACTCTAAAATAAATATCTAAAGATAAAAGCATAATCCTTTATATTTTAGTATTCTATCAGTATGGAAAAATTTAATTTCTCGCATATCATATAGTTGCTTTAATAACCACAAGTAATACTATAATATAAGTTATATCTTAATTTATTTGTCTTATAAAAGTTTTAACACTGATTAATAATTCAAAATATTAACATTAAGAAAAATATGAAAAAAATATAAAGCTTATGTTTCTTAAAATTATTTTACACTTGACTATACTCACCATTATATGGTTCAATTTTGTATATTCTATAATCAATTCAAGAAATTCTTGAATACCATTAAATTCACTTTATAATATTACTACAAAAAAATTCAAAACACAAAAAAAATATCGGAAAAATTAAAGTCTTAATAAAATGTTTATATTATTAGAAATCGTTTAAATTGTTTGATGGTTTAGGATTTTTTTCTCACGGAGCGGACGTGATGGTCGTGTGTGTAACACAAATCAACTACTGCGGTTGGAACAGTTGTTGATGTCAATTCAAAAAATAATCTACTTCTGTTTCTGCCACCGTAATACAATTACCACCTAACTGGAGGAAGAGATGGAAGGTCTCCAGAGGTTAATAAATTGGTGGTGAGGAAGTAGTAATATTATAAATATATATATATAGATTTATTATATTGTTGCCGTACTTTTAATAAAACACTGATGAAAAAACGAAAGATGAATTCCTTTTTTTGTAACCAAACACGTAAGTGACATATTTTATAAATACATCATGAAATTTATGTGAATAACAAATAATTGTTGTAAGATTACTGTGCCAATTGTGTTTGTATTTATGATTAATTTAACATAAAAGGGAAGGCGTAGAAAAAAATATTAGATTCATGTTACGCAATTCCAAGGTCAAAAATGTGATATTTAAAAAAAAATATCTAATGAATTGCTGGACACATGTGTTATCACTTATCAATAGAAGTCTACAAATATTTTCGTTGAGTACTATAGATAGTATACAAGTACAGAAAATACCTATTAAGTAATATGATATCGATTGTTTCTAAATATTATAATACTCTACAGTATAAGACGTAAGGGACACAAAGTATTTATACTGTTTATATAACTACTTATATCAATATGTACTTAGGTACGAGGTAGGTACCTAAATTTTTCTGTTTTAAATTTTTAATATCCTAAAACCGATTTTCATTTTTCTCTACTTTATTATTTCAAACTTTTAGTGAATTATGGATATTATATTATGTACAATATGATAGCTGAGCAATTACGATATGCTACTGTAAGTATACTTAGTATAAGTCAGATGATACCTATGTACCAATATTATTTATGTAGGAACACGAAAACAGTTAATATGAGTTATGAATTATAAGCAACTTTTACATTGTGACCATAATATTGTGCACACTACCGTTTGTAAGTTTATTTTTTCATTTTGTTTTAGATTCTGGAAAAAGTGAAGAAGTTGTTGATTTGACACTTGCACATTGAAACATTTTTTGATGATACTAAGAATGATTTGTACGTAGATAAATATGGTTAAGAAGTAGAATACATGTGATTTTAAGAAATAATATTTCAGTGATCACGTATTGGTAATTGATTCTTCTTATTTTTAGATTCTGAGCTGAGCGATGAATGTATTGATTTTAAAATTACCTAAGTGTGTTTATTTTTCTGTGTCTGCCATCACTTTTCGTGACGGAAAAAGTGCTTTGATTTTCTTCAATAGCATTTTTTCTGGCAAAGAAAGTAAATCTAGTGGGTACTTATCGGGTCACAATAAAAAATTCCAAATAGTTTTCAAAAGCGGCAAGAAAAACAAACAACATATAGAGGAAAAACTTTTTTGGTTTTTGATGTAAAAAAAAAAAATACCGTAGATTCATTACATTTTCTCTGGATATTTATTTTTGCATTTTTCACCATATAATTTTCAAAATATAAAATTACATCAACTTAAAAATACGAGAAAAAATTTTTGCATCATAAACTATAATATTACTGAAAAAGTTTAAAAAAATTTAGGAAATGTTTGCGGGGAAAAGCCCCTAAAACTCCCTTATTTGCGCCTATAAGTCTTACAGACAGTGTTCGCTGAGAATCATTTTTCGTTTACTTACAATGATTTTATATCATTGAATTCAAATTTCACACCATTCATTACAATGACCCCTCTTATAACCTACTGTACAGCAGAGTGACCATCCACTTACCCGCAGTTTTACCAATGTTTTTCAATGTAAATCTGTGAAAAACAAGCGAAGTTCAAATCTTTTTATGAATACCTGCACTTGTGTATTGATGTTTTTGGTTTGAAATAAAATAATAAAGTTGCTATGGGCTAATTTTTATGAGTATGCTTAGAATTAGGTATAATGGAATTACATTAGTTTTAACTTATTACTTGAAGCCATTAATTATTATTGAACTTAAATTTAAACTTATTTTCATGGACATATGTCAAAAATATACAATTAATTGAGGAACTGTGAGATACATAATAGGTATAACTTTAGATAACTAAAATGTAAAATTATTTATTTATTTTATGAAGTTTGAATTTTATTTTATATAATTGCTAAAACTATTAAAAGTCAGTGCTAACAATATTATTGGAACATTATGCGTATATAGTTGGTAATAAATTATGTCTGATCCATACTTTAATAATTTATCATGCAATTAGATAACTAATAGTAAAATATAATTATATTAGGTATCATTAGTAAATGTTTAGCTACATGACAATTTCCAAGATTTAAGTAAATAATATTCTAATAAATATCAACTGAGTTAGAGTATAATTTGCTGTATCTTAAAATAAGGAAAAAATGTATGCAAAATAAACATTATCATAATGACTTACAAACTACAATATTACTAAAAATGTTAGCATACCTATGTATTAATCTTTATAATATATTTTTCAATGTTTTATTTTTAACACATTATCTTGGATTAAAAATAATATTTCCATTAACAAAACAGAATCATTTCATGGTAAAATATGTTATGAAACGATTTGACTAAATATTTATTATTTTAAACGTACAGGGAATACTTTATATTTTATAACTAAAATAAAAATCGTCATGATCGTATAACATCAAATATCCATATTAAAAATCGGAAAATAAGGAGTCACATACCTACATAATAGAATACGAGTGACTTTCGCAGGTAAGGTCGTAATACATTATAGTATCGAATCTTAGTTAACCACGACCACGGTATTACGGGTCTTGAAACTGGAGTCTACGTAGTAGCTTCATACCTCGATTATAATGTAGACCGACATTACGGGAATACGAGGTAACGTCACAGATTTTGTTCAAGACCACACAAGATAATGGAAACGATTCAATCCCGTATTTATCACTGTTAAAGGTTTTTCGTACTAGACAGGGCGTCGTAACAACTACTTGGAATTATAGATTTATGTGTCAGAAGACCTAGTTACTGCCGAGTAAACAGGAAATTCAAATACCTATAGTTTGGGAGGCGGATCGTCAAACGTACCGACTACCGGACAAAATAGACATTCGAGGTTTTGAAAAATGTCACGCTAATGAGGTACAATTTTGAACATTTATTACCACGACACTTCTGCGGATATACCTCACAATTATTGGTAATTAGAATCGAATACGTCATTGCTTATTATCGATCGTTTGTCAAATAATTAATAACAACATTGAGAATAGACAAATAATTTAAAATATACTAATAATATTGACTAATCTAATGACAAATAACTGTATACTTATATGATCATAATTATATTAAAAATCATAATTTTACCATTAGTCGGAACATCTCCAAGTCAGTTTACACTATAAACTTTATAGAATGCTGAGTGTTACTACCTTACAGCTACTTTCCTCAAGACTTCAGGTCATGTATATATTTTTTGTTTTGTTCACACTCATATTGTAACTGTTATTAAATATTGTATATATTTTAATAAAATATGTTAAAAAAATAAAAATAAAAAGGGTTTACATAGGACTAAAGGTTAGATTATATTTCTTAATAAAATAAAGCTAGGTAGGGATAATTTTAATAGTATTACGTAACCTGAAGATTAAACTTTATTATTCTAAACGTGAATTGTATTACTCTGTTAAATAAATTAATAATTTGATATTGATGCGATTACTCTTAAAAGCCTTGAGCCCTTAACCTTAAGTATATTATATATTCATTGAAGTTGCATACCCAAAAATATCAAGTCACACTGAATTATGAGATGGTTAAAAATTTGTATACATATATATATATATATATATATATATATATTTATTATGAACAGGGTGATTCGTCAACATGCTGACCCCCATTTTTATTTTAAAATACAGTTATTCAAAATATAGTTTTTGGAATTTTTAAATAGTGAAACTTACAAACCATATTTTTAAATATTTAAGAAAATCTGTCTATCATTTAAGGAGTGTTCTGTGGCGATGCAAACTTTTCTTTTTTTCAAATGACAACCACCTTTAAAGAGCAAAACTTGAATTAATAAAGAAGAACATTTTTTTGAAAATACTTATCTGAATTAAAATTTAAACAAGTAATTTCTTAATTACAATGATTTCTGCTAAAAATCTAAAGTATCCGAAAGTAGGAAATTCAAAAATTAATCGAAAAAAAAACAAAAAAAAAATATGAAAACCACAATCTTTAATCAAATAAATTTCAATAAAATTAGATTATTTTGTTTTTTTTTGTGATAACCAAATAATATGATAATCGAAAAATCTTTATTTCAGTATTTACTAGACATTATTAAAATTTCAAAATATTTTGGCACATTTTGTGCCATGAATAAATATTTATAATTTACGACTTATTTTTATTGATTATAAATAATAATATGTAGCTTATTGATAAAACGTTTGTTTGTGAGTAAAACTACTTATGAAACGTGATAAGGTTCCTCAAAAGTTGTTCTTTTAACCCTACAATGCATGATTTTTTTTTATTATTAAAAAAATTGTTTTTGGATAGTACTAAAGCTACAGAATACGTAAAAAATGATTTAAAAAATCTATTTTGATTTCAAGTGTTGAAAAAGTCGAAAAAGTTGGTTGTTGCTATAGAGCAACATTATGCATTTGTAACTACGAAAAATAAAAACTTTTTTTTTCATTTATTATATTTAAAATGTGTTAACATATTACATGTTTTTACAAGTTTATTAATACAATTTTGAAATTTTGAAAACTTTAATTTTTCTAAAATGTTGTCATATTATAATAGATATACCTAAAATTTATCAAATTTATACACATTTAAATTATTACATAGTTAAATTACTCAATATTATTAGGTAGTATGATATTTTTTAAAGCAAGTTTTTCCTTTTCCAGTACATAATCCAACTTGACATTTTTCACAAGCTTGCCATGTATATCCCTTGCAACCTGGCATTTTACAACGACTCCTCGTTGGTGCATCGATCGGCCAGTGATCAATGCGATCCATGCTTATATCTTGATTTGGTGGTTTCGAAGCATTCGGCTTCTTGGATTTTTGTATTAGTGCATTCTCTATGGTATTTGATGGCCTTCCTCTAGTGAAAGTTGACTGATCAACTTTGCACAAAGATATTGCTAAATCTTCTTTAAACGCAGCTAATGTCATAGGTTTTCCATAAATTAAAAAATATTAAAAATGTGTAGCCGTTACTTTTTTTTATTGGTGTTATTAGTTTTAAAGTTAAGATATATTTTGTCAAAATGGTGAAAATGTATAAATTATTTTCTAATTGAAAATTCATAAAATGCTCAATTTTAGTAGCTAAGACTTGAAAATGTATAGTAAAATACCAACTATGTTTTTTGATGGAAATTAAAAAAAAATTAAGCATAAGGCCTTCTATATACATTTTTTATGAGAAAATTAAATTTATATTTCGACAACATTGAATTCACTCGTATATTTGATTTATCTGATCTAGTTTTAACTAACTATACTTATATTAATTTGCTCAAAAATATTTCTTTGAATTAAATTTATAAATTCAAATTATTTAATTATTATACATATACAATTAACAATAATGTATTGTTGAGTTTATTTTTATTAAAGTTTTAGATATTGATTCAATAAAATCCATATAACACGTGTAGACAACAGATGCATAGAATAAAATACTTTGATTCAAAACTTATATACATATACCTACCAATTATAATAAATTATTTCTTCGATACTAGAAGATTGATGACATTTGAACTATTAATTAATCACCACAGGATCCTTAATTATTAATGGTTTTAGTTCTATAATTGTTTGGATACCAAATGAAGGGATTAATGTATATTTCCAATATGGTACCGTTACGTTAATATTTTTTTTATCCTGTCATCATCTTTTGAAGAAGTCAAAGTGCTTTTATTTTGACGGTAGTTAATGTACATATGGAATAATTCTATAATTCCATTTTTCAATTACTTCAATTTTATTTTTTGATATAATTAAGAAATGGATAAACGTAGCTAGAATATATAATTTTAATAAAATATTTACTTGTGTGCTACTTATTTAAAAAGTTTTAAATTTTCAAATTTGTTTTCCGATTAATATACATTAAAAAAATGTTGAATCCAAAAAGCTTAAAACTTGAATAGTTGAATAAAAAACTCTTCAAAAGTTATTTTTACAGCATTAAATGTTTACATTATTTTTTATAAGTGTTTTAACTCCAAACTTTGATAAAATTGTGAATATCAGATTTTAACAGAATTGTATTGTAAGATAACTCTTGAAGGTGTTTTGGTTATTGTTATTCAAAAAATATTTACTGCAAAATATTGAAACATTAAGACATTATTTAAATTAAAAGTTTCTACACACAATGCATTTTTCAACATATTTAGAGTAATAATATATTGTAAGCTTTTTATACCACGAATCTATTTATACCATTATATACAAGATATCGGTATTGACTTAATATAGTAAATTCATAATAGGTGTAATTTATCAATGTTTTTGACATTTGAAATTCTTTCAACGTACCGTGTTTTTAAAATAAAAATAATATTACTTAAAGTAATATAAATATATTAATAAACTATCCTTCAGAAATAGCATTAATAACCGTGTTTATCAACAAATCCATAAGTTAACCTATATATTATTCATTCATTTAAAATGTTTTTTGTTAATTTGGTTTGTATTATTAAAGAAATGTATTGAAATATATTGACAGAGTTTAAGAATCATGTTTTTGATTTGAAATGTTCATTTTTGTTCAAAATTCTGTGTAACAATAAATATAGTTATTGATAAATAAATAATCAATAATAAATGAGTAAATTGTATTAATAAAATATAGTGTTGGGACTATAACTCGAGTATCTATACTTTTAATATCTGAAAATTCATTATGTTTTTCACCTTTTCCAACTTTTTCCACCTCACCATTTTAAATATATAAATATTTTTCATCAAATATAATAAACACCAACAATTATATAATTGTTTAAAAATCAATCTGAATCTAAATTTAAATAGATGGATTCTAAGTTGTTAAGCTTTATGTATAATATAAAATTCATGTAATATTTAGTATATTATGTATTATACTCAGACAACTTTTACAAATTATAAAATTGAAATAAACGTTTATGATTTAATTATTTTATATTTTTCCAATCAAAACCATAGACCCCATATCTTCTAAATTGATAATCATAGACGTTACTGCGTCTTAGTTTTCAATAACTTTGAAACTACTTGTTTGGTTGTATTTTGATTCGAATGTATTAACATGTTCAAAAATAACATCTCCTTAAAAATTTGCAATAGAAAATTGTGATGCAGTTTGAATAAAATGTTTCTCCAAATGTCACTCCTTAAATTATATTAATATATCACTAAAAAGAGTAATATCGATCATAAAAGTTACTTATACAACATATTCATGTTTGACATGAACAACCAATATTGTACGACCATGACCAATCACTATCTATTTAAACTGGCAATAAATTTCCCGCGTTAATTTAGTCGATATAAACAAAATTGTAATGTAAGTTACCAAAAACCCTACTTTCCTCTGCACCGTGGTACATAAGGAACAATAATCTTAACAAAGATCTTAACGTACAAACTTTAAACCAAATTGCCAAAATGTATTATGCTAAATTCCACAATAAACTTCGGTCACATACAAACCCCTTGATTATTAAACTATCATCAAAAACTCTGCCCGATAACCCTCAACGTAGGTTAAAAAGAAAATGGTGCAGTGACATTTTGTCCTAGCATGAAAAATTAATACATATGAACCATATTAAATGACAGTAATTAAATTAGCACGTTCTGGGTGTTACCACTGGGTAATTCCCCAAAATCATAATATTCATTGTTTTTGTTTCTTTTGTATTCTTTATTTCCACTAATTAATGTGTATATTTGTTGTATAGATTGTAGATTGTCTTTTTACTCAATAAAAAAAAAAGTTACCAAAATAAAATGTTTCATGTTAAAAATCCAAAATTCTATAAATAATTTGTATTTGATAGTTACTATTGTTTTGATTCTAAATCGTTTAAATATTTTGTATCCGATTAAGATGTTTAATCAATGTATGGAAAAAGTCTGCTAGTTTCATCAAAGGTCTTACGTTTACATGTGTTTAGTATAGAGCGTAGAATGATCAAATATAATATGCTATGTACAATAGTAAATGGTAAAATAAGCATTTAGTGAAAATGTCAAGTATCTACTGTTATTAGTTTTTGAATCACAACTAATTGAGGAAAAATAGTTAATTTAATGGTGAATATACAATGTAGAAAAAATTTGAACTTCAAAAGCATATAAAAAATTTATATGGATTTCATCTAAGATTTTTTTGCTGTAGATAGAAAAACTTATGATTAACCTTGTATTAAATTATGCAAATTTTTGAAATAAATTTTCTGAATTTCGTCAAAATACAAGCCTTAAAACGCTTATAAAAAATACTATGACTATGTATATTAGATATGATTTTAAATTGTATAGTATGAACTACTTATGAACAACTTTGTATTCAATTTTCTAACTTTTGACCAAATTAAAATATCGACATATGAGGGATGAAAAATTACATCAAATCGAATATGCCATAACTTGTCTAAAATAGTTTAAAAAGTATAGAAAAAAATTGAGTGAACATTTCAAGTATGTATCTACATTTATTTGTTTTTAAGTTACCTACACCAAAAAAAACTACCTATATCAATTTTGTTGAAAAGTATTAGGTATTGTGTAAAAATCTCCGAGTTTCTTTATTATTTTTTTTTTTTGTCGATTATTATAAAGAAAAGTACCTAGTATTTTCAATTTTTACCTCTCATAAATACTTAGTTCTACGCAGAATCTATAATTATATTGTTTATTAGGCACTGATGTGAAATATGAAATAAGATTATGATAAATAATTACTAAAGTGATAATACTAGTATAGGTAGGTATATACTTTATTGTCGTTCCCCACTTCCAACAACAAAATGATAAGCACAATTACATTTACCAGTTACCTGATCGACATAGAAATCAATAATTCTGTTAGATTGGGGGGGGGGCTAATATTCACACTTTTTTTCAGATTCAATTTAAGAATGAATGACTAGGTAAGTAGGATACGAAGAAAATTAAAAAAAAAAAACAACAAGGTAGTCATAATATAATCAACTTAACTTCAGTAAATGTTCTTATCATGTAAAAATATAAGATTAAATATAATACATGTATCATCTATAAAATATGTTAGGTAAAAAATGTTTATTTAAAAAATATTACTCTGATTTTTAATGAATTCGAGTAAATAAAAGTAACAAATGTTTAGTGTATAATAAGTTTCAATACAACATTATATAACAATTGTATCTATTTACTTATGTTTATAATAACATCTAATATATATTTTGTTTTTTAAATAAATTGCACACTGTATTCAGTAATCCTCACTTAATACATCAGCCGAATTAAGTTTAATTACCTGATTTCTCTAACTCTATTACCTATATATTAACTAATATATGACTGCTACATATGAGTTGGTATGAGATAAATACCATATTATAGAAAAATACAGCTAAACAATTTAATTTTGGATTAATTTACTTCTTTATATTTTTAAAATTTATTTTTTAGTTACCTATGTTTCAGTGACGCATAACAAAATTCAAAATAATCCATTTAACTTGTTTTATAATATTTATTATACATGTACATGATAAATTCACTCCAACACTCTAATATTAAAAATAATACAACCGAGTTAAAATATTGATTATTCTGAACGTATGATATTTTGTTAATATGTTGTGCGCTTGTACGATGAATAACGGTATGACATCTTCTTAAATAAATTAAAATTAATACAATATGAATAAGTATTAATAAAGTATTTATTTACCACCAGTAGTATAAAAATTTCGAATACAATAAAATCAAAATATAAAGTGATTTTAAAGGTATCTCTTAACATTGTTACTATTTGTATAAGGATATAAAATAAATATTAAATAATAAATAATAAAAAAAAAATATTTTTACTTTAGTAGGTACTTAGATCTTTTACTTCTTTTTAGTTCCATCGCATGAATAATGTTCATCACACCATTCCGTCCAGTTAGTAGGCAGCAGTCTAGTATACAAATTATCTAAACGAAAATTGGTTACTTCAGTAAATGTTGAAACAAAGGACCTTATTTTCTTGCTCGGTAGAAAGTTTGATATAGGCGATAAAGCCCTGCAAAACACAAATAATATATTTTTTTAATTTTTTATTATTGATAACAAATTGCATGTTGCGTTTTATTTTTACTCGGATTATCAATGATAATAATGTCAAAATGAATAACTTACCAATTCAACCAAATTAATGTCAAACTCGGTCTTTCTGCACCAGCCATACGGCAAGAGACCCTCTCCACGCACTTTTCTGATCGCATGATTTGCCTGAAGGTAGCCATTCCATTTCCCATTACCTGAAAATTGTCTAGACGACTCCTCCTCTTAACACCATCAGGGTCGTCTGGGTCACCACCATTACCACCATCACCACCACCTGCTGGTGTCGCCGGAGTTGCGGTGCCCATGCTTCCAAAACCATTTGGTACTAAAACCGGCTGGTTAAGCATGTTTTGCATGTTCCATAGACGCGATAAGATCATCGGCCACGTAAATATTGACAAGAGAGCTGGAAGAAACAGGGTCATTTTCACCATTTTCATTAGCATCAGAGCCTTGATGGCCAGAACGAGTATGAGCAGTTTCAGTTTGAATAACATGATCAAGAAGGCCTTAATGAAGCCCAGCGCTTTTAACTTGGCCATTGCGATCTTCACCAATGCAAACAGACCGATTTTAGTCACATCGATGGACATTTTATGTTTGCTAGGATGCCGGATTTCAGCGATTATTGGAACGGGGCGCGAAGACTGTGGTATTGGTTCGCCGTACCATTCCATCATGCTGTCTCCACCTGACCATCCGTTGTTTGGATTTCGGTAGTTGCCAGAATCGTAACTAGAAGCACCCACGTTACCACCTCCGCCGCCAAATTCGAACGCGCTTCCATAACCGGTCGATCCGTCTTCGTCGACAGTGATGTCTGTTTCAATGGGCGTCGGCCCGTACTTATTCAACTGTCTGTGATTAGTATTATACCTGCAGACAAGACGGACATATTTATTATTATTATTTCTAATTTTTTTGTTAAACTTAAAATGTTTAAATACTTAATCCATAATATGTTACGTATACATATTACATATGTGTATTCATGGTAAGGCTTATTAATCAGGGGTCGCATGTTTGATTCATTTTTTAAAAATAGAAACCAAATTCTTATAAAGAATTCTGACACATCAAAGTAAATTGGTATAAAAATAACTTTTGGTTTGTTATACTGTACCAGAAAGAATTTGAACGTTATAGACATTGAAGTAGATTGTTTTTAAGGGTTTCGCGTCAAAATGCTGAAAATAATACTTATTATAAGTTTGGAGTAATTGATTCAAATGGATTCAATTCATCAATTGGTATGATATGTGTACACAAATACTACTATCATCGTGTTAAATTATTAAAAGTTACATTTTTTTTATACTGATGTACGTATTTTATTTAAAATTCGATTTCATGATTTTTTTTTCGTTCAGTGAACATTTTTCATGACCATCGTAACCAAATCGGAATAAGCTTAAAAGCTCGCACCCTACCGGGTTTCATTGTCAGAGACTAAAATCGCATAGTAGTGCCTATCAGTGTTAGGTTTAAAGCAATTCAAGTTAATAGTCTTGGCATGTATAGGGGACATTTAATGTCATAATTTAAGGTTCGTATTTACACTAAAATAATATTATATTGAATAAATTAACATCTACGTACATATTATGTACCCGTAGTTGATTTTTGAATCATCAACCCCTCATTATTTCAAAAATAATGTTTTATTTTTAATGATTATGGTTTTTAGACGTTAAAAACAACATTTTTTAAATATAGATGTAATTTTGCGAACATGACGTTTTATTCTTATATTTTTTCTTTATGACAACGTACAGTTTTAATGTTATATACCAAAGCAGAATATTTTTCTAAGTGCTTTGATACATAAAAATCGAATTTAGGACGAGTAGTATTATATGAGTTATAAGCATTTAAAATTAAAATGAGTACTCAATTTTTCGGGGTAACCACGTACTACTCCAGTCTGCTCGTCTAAACTTTAAATACTTATAATTCATCAACTACTGGTCCTAGTTTCGATCTCTATACATCGAAATACGCAGAAAACTGTAACTACGTTGTTATTCAAAAAAGTAAAAATTAAAAAAAAAAAACCGATGTTTCGTAACGAATTTAAAAATCGTAGTGTATCAGGTCACATACGATAGCATTGAAATTGCCCGTGGCAAAGTTATAACTCGGAGAAATTCAGTGATATTATTAGCTAATGTGCTTATATTTCCATACCTATTCCATTTCGGAAAACCACCATTTAACAACACATCTGCATGTTGATCTTCTTCGAATTCGACTTCTTGATCTTCCTTGCTAAAATAGAATGGGTTTCTGATATATCTTCCACGTGTAACGAATGCTGGAGTACTGGTGGTTAGCGAAGGGTATGGCTTAGAATTTGAAACTGATGACGGAGCCTCGACAAAAACATCGGACGTCAAAGACGAAAATGTATTGTAATCGTCGGCAGTCGACTTACGGCCAGTAGTTTTAAGTTCCACGCTCACGTCATGAACCAATTTAGATTTATCTTGCAGTTCTTTTGAAGTCCGATTTTCTTGCAGCAGAAAAAGAGCATCGGTCGATGCATTCAGCTGAGTGGTTGTTATAAATAAAAAGTCATCAACCAACGTCAGTGCAACAGCCATAACTGTTAGCATCTTAAAACTCATTTTTTTAAATAAATTGTTTTCAATGTATTAAACCCTCAAAACAATGTGAACGGTGTAATTAAGTCTATGTCAAATGCCTGTAAATATTTGAAAAAATGTATTACAATTATTATTTTAATTTAAAGTGTAAAACCAATTATAAAGGAAATTAAAGTATTAAAATTAATTTAGTCATGAAAAAAAATATTGACAGTACGCTAAAAGAATATTATGGTATTTTATATACTATAATACTTACGTTTATTTGCCTACAAGTATACATCTATGCGTACATTGTTGAATAATTTTGATGGCAAAAAAATATAAATACTAATAAATATTTATAAGCAATGTAATCTACCGAGTTCTCTAAAAAAAAGCAATACACTAAACACCTTTACTAAAAAGCTTCTTAGCTATGCACATCACTCGTTGACAACGAACTGCGACTGATCAAATCAAGTTCAGTGGCATTGCTCATGTCGATTTTCTTCAATGACAAAAATCAAAGACAATAGTGTCCATGGGGGAGGAGCAACGACTTAATTGGCTAGAATCTAGAACAATACGAAATATTTGCAACGATTTTTCTTTCAATGTAATTGAATTAAATTGGTTAACCATATGTAAAAGGAAGACTTTTTTGTGTCCTCTGCATTAAACGAGAGTGAAGTCGAAATAATTGAACCGCACCACTGCTCGTTAACAGCGTAGGTATATTGAAAGGAAATTAAATTGAACCTAATATAATTATGACACGTGGATGTGTTTAAAACCGTTAGAATAATTATGGAATAAAAATAATATCTAACATTGAGAGAGAAAACATTTATCTTATGATGAGCTAGAGACACAATATTATTTTTATACAAATAAATTCAGGTTTTGCTTGAAAAAATACAATGAAAATAGGTAAGTAATTTGAGTTTATACACAGTGTTAGATTCGATGCGAAACAATACAATTAATCGTCTGGTTTTAGATTAAAAATAGACATGCCTAATATAATAGTTTTTTTTAATTTTAAATTTAGCCTTTACAAAAATTTGGCTCGCAATATAATAGTTAAACATGTAGAACCATATTTGTTTTAGGGAAGTTTGGAAAACAGAAGGAATGCATACAGAGTCTCGAAGAGGAATGTGGTAAGTTATTGAAATAAGTTGAAAATTAAAGTGATAGATGATGGATTTCTTAAAAAATTTCAAGTTTTTAATTAAACAAAAAAATATGTTTGGAATAATTTTGAAAATATATTGTAAAAATATGTTTAAAAAATAAAAATGTCTTTTATTTTATTTTATTTTATTTGTCTACAGCCGACATAATATTATTACATTTCTAAATCTAAGATGTTATATATTATACTAGATTCATAATAATAAATTTAATTTTTAAATAATTTTTACGATTATTCAAGATAAATTAAAATAGTAATTTGATCAAAAATTGAAATATTATAAATTATAATAGGTATGCTGTTAATTGAATATTATTTTTAATATAAATCACACAGAATCTTGAATTAATTTAGGTAGGTGTGTGATGTTTTAATTTTAAACTATCCCAATATTACAAACTTTATTTTTTTTAATGCCATAATAGATTAAATTATTAATTGTTTAGATGTTTATCTTTAGTGCTTTGAACTTTTGATTCAATTATTATTATATCCATAAGTTCGTATTAAATTAATCAAATAAAAATGAAAAGTGGCACATTTTCAAATATGTTATACTAAAATCAAAAATAGAACCAAATTCAAAACAAATTAAAACTTGAAGAAACTTTATGAAATTTATATTTCTTATCAGCTTTGAGAAAAACCACGTAGAAGTGGAAGGAAGCTTTTATTTCTCAGAAAATGGTATTGTAATGGATCAACATTGTATAATATTATTCGGTTATCATTATGATGTACAATTCGCAGAATATTATAATTAGTTACATGTCTATATTATATTATAATACCATTCACATATTTTTATTATATAATATGTACCAACACAATATTATATAATAAATTACATTTTGTTTTCAATGATCAATAATGCACCCAGCTATTTATTAAGGTACAAACAAAAGTGTTATATGATAAGAGATAGGTATCTAGTGTATTCTAATGTATTCCGATTATTATTTGTTCATCTACAAATACCAAAAATTTGTCAATATACATAAAAATAGAGCCAAAAATTTAAAACAGTTCATCCATTGAGGACGGCTGGATTTAGCTCAAATTTTTTTTTAATTGTTCGCTATCGCCAGGCGAAAGTTTTACGAAAATTTTTTTGGAAAAACTCTTTTTTTAAACATTTTTTTGATGATTTATTTTTTGAGTTCCGAATGTTTTATTGAATTGAAAAAGCTACAGCAAGCTTTAGCTTATACAATTGTTCATATTACATAATTAATCGTTAAAATGGAGCCCCTTTCCAACACCAAAAAAATGGATTTACATGGAGAAATATGTCATGTATTGAATATTAGGTAATTATGTTTCACTATATAAACTAAAGTTTACATTTTGTAAAGTGATAATTTTTGTATCGTTTTATTCCGTTCGATTTTATTTATAGCCGTAATATTCTCTTTACATAGAACGCAATAGTCGATAGAAGAGATAAAATTTAGGTTTTACCTTTATGAAATATGATTAATCGATTACTACGACTTCATTTTCCATTTTCCGTTGTTTGCGTTACCTGCAGAAAAACTGTTCCAGTACAATTTTATTTTATTTTATTTTATTTTACTAATCTAACAAAACACAATCCTGGATGGTTTAGATTCACAAATGGACCCGATATTTCCAACCCGGAGAGTTGCTCAAACAGAGATTTTAAGATTTACAAAGAAAATATTTGTTTATATACGGTTGCTATTGGTTATAGGAAATATATATATATATTTAGTAAAAATGGTTATTTTTTTTTTGTTTATTGGTTGCCTGCAGTGGTTCATCGGGCAGATCAGGTATAAGCATGCATAATACAATTGAATTTTCGCACATTGCCTACCAAGGTGTTTACCAAGTTGCACCTATAGCCGCTCATCGGAGTGTCCGCAATCAAAATAAATATAAAACATATTATTTCAAGAATACACAGCAGGTAGGCATAATATATTGCTCTCATTATCACCATCGAGTCTCATACAGAGTTGGGATTTTTAACGGGCAACAAAATGCACGGAATCAGCTTGTATACTATAATACTAATATGTATAATAATACACAATAATATATAAAATAAATTAAAAAGTTGTTTATTTGTACTCTTTTGAATATGAATAATATTCATGATACAATCTAAACCTTAAATAAACGATTGAGAGTCGACCAATATATTATATAGAACACGTGGTAAACCGTAGCTTTCTCGGATAGCATATTGGAGGTATGGAAGGGAGACATATTATTATTAAAGTCCATCATGGACGCATTCAACAGAAAAACCGCGACAATTCATTCAAGTAATTATTGGTGTGAGAGTAATGGCACATTGGGCTCACTACACTAGATTATTGTCAAAATGTAGGAAAATGCGTTTTAAGAGATAAATTCACATCGGAAACTGCGGGTGAGGAATTGTCGGTTTTAGGGTTTTCTCTCCATTTGTCACCTCAACCTAATCAGTCGTACGCCACTTTCTAGTAGCCGGAAAGACTCTTTATGGTCGCCCAAGTTTTTTTTCATCATGGTAAGAAAAAATAATGGTTATCACAAATCCTTTGGCACGATTTGTTAAAATTGTTTAAAAATATAGAATAGGATACTGGTAAGGACAATATGTACTTAAAATAAAATATATAATTACTAACAAAAAATAATATTCATGTAATTTAAAATATTTTTCTTTTATAATAATAATAATAATAATAAATAATAATATATAGTAGATATACGTCCTATATTAAAGCATTAAACATAATTTCAGATTGCAAATTTTAACACAACTTATCAAACTTTATGGTTAAATATGTATAGCATTATTCAATCAATATATTATATTATACTTTTATGACACCTAAGCGATAACGCGCTAATTAATTCTAAATTTAATGGATATAAAATAAATTAGAAAAAACAACAGAAAGAACAAATTATATCGTTTTTATCGTAAAAACAATATGATTTGAAAGTCGTCTTGAGAGGTCACTATAAATGTTGTGACTCTTGTTTGTCTTCGGACATGAATGAATGATATTTCCGTGCACGTGGTTCTCATCGAGTAGATCTATCACGGTTGTTTTGATAAATAATAATTCATTGTAATATCATTATGTACAACAATATCAGAAGTGAGACTGGTCTGATGTCACCATCAGAATCCGGCAAAGTCCACTAGCGCCCTCGTGCTTCTCTGCAATGATTTTTGAGTACTTCGACAGGGATACCGCACCTCAGAACAGACGGAGTTCACCAGGTTTTCGTCTTCGCCCGTACCCAGTCCCGTCTCGGTACCATAATTGTAAGCCTCACGGTATTGCTTTAGCTTGTCTCTGATCGGTTCGTTGTTCTGGACCACACGGAGAGTCTGCAAGAACTTCAACACCCTGTGGAAAACAAGACAAAACCGTGTATTAATAAGCGTTATTCTCACACATGCCACACCCACATAGGTATAAGTGAGATATTATTAAAAAAAAAATATGTCATCGAGGTTTTATTTTTTTTACTTGTATATAAACTCAACTTATCCCAGCTCAAAGTTGTGTTCCGCCCTTTATAAAACAATAATATTAGTATCACCCCTATATAGATTATTTAAATGTTTTATTTTCTGACTTCTAACTTTTGATTCACATATTTACGTAATATTATGTTAATCACCGTTAATTACACTTGTATTTAACAACAACTCCGACAACAACCATATTATTATAATTTATAAACAAAAATTCACTATCTTATGAGGGTTAGAAAAATAATTGGAAACTTTCATTTGACGATCCAGAGTTGTTAATTAAAAAATAAATTGTTTGAGTTATTTAAATTTGTTTAAATCATAGGTAGGGCTGCATTACTATTTTAACTTACTGTTTACAGCAACTAACAACGCTGACGGTACAGATGATAACACATTAAGTGGTTATAATATATTTTTAACCATTGTTGTTCAATTTTATCTTTAGATTAATTTATTAGTGTTTTGTTTCAAAACGCAACGTCTTTTATTGCGCAAATTTAAACCGTTGAGTTTTGTTTATTCTATTATTATATATTTTTAGATTTTATATCTAGTTCCATATTTTATCCTCTATTCCGTTGTTATGTTATATTATTCTTCGCTGTTTCGTATTGCAGTCTTTATCTTGTCAATATTACATTATTCGTGAGAAAAATAAAAAAAACCCTCCCAAGATACATACATCCAAATATAATTTGTTAGTAATTTTGAAAACATTAATTTATGTAAATAAAGTTTGTATTAAGATTATTTGAACTTTCTACTCAAATATTACAAACTCTAATTTTTTTCCCAGGAAAACGTTCAAACAAAAAACTTTATTTGATGAATATAATAAAGTTAACAGCTGTGTGGATATAAAGAAAAACTAATTTTGTTCAACAATCCATAATGTACATTTTGTTTTTCATTAAACTTACTTATAAAACTGTTACAATTTGAATTATTTTACAACTTTTGAGCCATTACCATGTAATCAAATTTGTTGTCAATCAAGAATATCAATTTTATTTTCAAACTATAATAATATGTTCCTATATTTTTTATATTCTTACAAATACATACTAAGATTTTAATTTTGATTACTTTCGTGTATTTTATAAAATATTTTGAATCGTTGAATTTGTATGACTTTAAAAACAATTCAATTTTTATTTCGAATATACTATTAAAAAGTGAAAATATATTTAATAAACTATTATATAAACTCTAGACATATATTAGGAGAACCATAGTTTTTTAATTTTATTTACTTTCTTCAACATTTAAATTGTAACAGTATTTTAGTCATACTATCATAATGTATATTATAACTATTTTACCTAAAAAAACCATCAATATTTAGATTGAATGATTCAATATTCTCCGTATTCGACATCTAATTTAAAATTCAAATTTATTTTACTATGTTGGAAGTCACTACATAATCCAAATAGGTATTTTAATTATAATTCAATTTTAATCTAAAAATCTATTAGTTTTGGTTACGATGCAATTTAATTATTATAATATTGACTATATTTAGAGGTATATTATATTTATATGTACCTACTAGCAATGTATAATGGTTTGAAATTATGTTTATACAAAGAAAGCTTTTACAATAATCATATCAAAACAAATATATACTTCACGTCGGTAAAGTATTGAAATCGTCTATAGTTTCATTATAATAATAATAAATGTATACGAACAATGCTTAGGAAACACCCAACTTCGCAATTCAAAGGTACTCAAATACAGAACTTTAAAAAAAGAGCTTGTGTAGTTACTAGATTTTATAATTTAAAGTAAATAATATATTACTATCGTTTAAATCTATATGTGACCAATTCAATATTCCACATTCTTGTCTTCCCCGCTATTTTGACTTTTATGTGTCACTCATCAGTCTATCAATATGTAATATCACCACATTTATATTTTTTCTCATTTTAATTCAATAAGTTGTTCATTATATTTTTCTTTTAATTTTAATTATGCTGACATTTTTAACGTATTAATTTTTTAATTACTTACAATGTATATTATATTATTATAATTTTTTTATTACAGAACAAACACATTCAATACAACATAACAATAGATATTAAGCTATGCGTAATGCAATAGTTTTTAATATTATTATTATCACTAATAATTTACTTTTCTCCCGACTTATTTAATTTTAATCAACTTAATCAGGAGTTTTGATTAAATTAAGTTGTATAAAATAATTTCAACCAAAATATTATTAATTCATAATTTAGTTTTTATTTTTGTTAAAAAGCCATTATTGTACGTGTGTCTACAGTTACACACTTACATTGAAAACATTGAAGGTCAAAACATTTATATCAAAATATAAAAGATTCGTCTGCATCGAGACAGCGAAGCCAGACTAGAAAACCCCATTGTATTTCAACTATAGAATTAAACTATTTAAAGGGTTCTGCTCCATTGCATTTTTCTATTAAAGGCTTTCAGATAACTAGAAAATCCAATTAGCTGGAACTATTGTAGTAATTGAATGGTGCGAGTATTCGTCTTGTTAGACACATTTCACGATTAAATAAATATCTATATCTAATAACTATATTCACAATATAGTCAATGGAGGTTTGTTAATAAAATTATTTTTTCTACCAAAGCACTATTAAGCAATATTAATTTATACAATATTATGTGTGGTGATCGATAAAATATATAAGGTATGAGAGTTTTGACTAAATTAAACATCAACTACCAGTCAAAGCCCAAAGTGATAGTACAAATTAAGTTACTAAGTGGTAGTGTCGCGTCTACATTACAGTTCCAGAAAGATCACAACTTACTTTAAAATAATAATATCAATAAAATACTAGATTGTCTTTAAATTTTATAATTGTCAATTTGCTCTAATATCAAAACTAACAGCACACTATTGACACTAGTCAACGAAAATTTGATTTGTCGTACGATTGTTAGGCGAAAACAACACATACCAGTGCGATGTCCTCTTCAACAATTTGAGTTCTTTAAAACATTATAATTGTATAGCGTACCTACAAAATATTTAGATTCGATTTCTTGAAATATATTGATTTATATAGTATTCAATATCTAGTTCGCTTTGTTTAAGTTATAAAAAAAATAATTTTTGAGCATGTTTTTTTATCGTTCAACGAAAGTATAAACATAATACAAAACTAGTTTATTCGACATTTGGTAAGCAAATTGAAGCAATTTAAGGACTTCAAATTTAATGCCAATTAATTTCCAATAATAAACATTTAATACTATATAAGGTAGATTAATCAACGATCATATATCGTTAAACAATTTTTAGAAATTATTTAGTTTGAAAACAAAACAAATTATAACAGTTGCTGTTATTACAGTTAATACATTCGAACGGTATTTTGAAGAAACTTTTTAAATTTTAAAAAGAAATTTGTAACCATTTTGCGGACTTTCACTCATGTTATTGATCATAGAAATGCACAAGAATAACTCGTCACTTGTCATGCAGATTTACTAGATTAGCCATAATTCACCACGTTAGATCCTTTGTTTGAATCACTTTTGTATATCCATTATATATATATACCTTAAAAGCATCTACTATTCATTCGGATATTGTCAACTCAGCATGCTTACAAATAATTAAATAATAACTTTTCTCTTTCAATCAAGTACCCAATATATTATGTCCTTAAATTCACTTTTAAAATTACAAAAATGTTCAGTATTTCTCTTTTACAAGTCCATTATGATTGAATTATCTTCACCCTAAGCCTAATTAACTTCTTCCTATTTATATTTAAGAAAATGTGTCAAGTTAATATATTATCATATTTGATTTTTCTTTATCATTTAATTAATTTTGTTATATAGTGACTAATATGCTCATACATAATAGGTTTGTAATTAAAATATAACCTACATAATAGATCATATGTATAGAAGACGTGTCGGTAATGTATAATGCCATACAAATATTAACTCTTTTAACAACTACATTAATATAAGTAAGGACACAAGCAAATAGCAATAGATACTTTCATGAAATGTATTTTAAAGATTATGTTGTTAACACACCTATTAGCAAATTAAATAGTTTACTATATTATTGTTCAGGAAAAAATAAGATAAATACATAGTCACTAGCAGATATTATTCAGAATCAATTTTACATGTTATAAGACAAATATTATTCTGCCTTTTTTGGCGGTTGCATATGTAATTAATTCTGATCAAGAGATTTTGACGTAGCTCCATAATATATTTTAATTATTGTATGAAAAACATCGAACCAAAGACTTATACACATATTATTATAAACATTATACACTTGAAATTTTCGTCTTGACATGTTGTTTCATTATTCTACGTCACTGAAAGTGTCTTATTTTATACAACGGTTATTTATTTAAGTTGGAGATTGAAGTTTGAATAACTTAAACATTTTCTATTGGACTTTTTTTAATAGCTTAAATTTAAAATATAAAGTTAAATCTAAATAATGTTTTATAAATAATTGATGTCATTATTGTCAAACAGGAGTAATCTATAATATTAAACTTTAACGTAATTTCATGAAAATCAAACTAACTCTCTTGTTTATAATTTTCACTATCATAATAAATTATGAATGATGTGTGGAGTCACTTAGTGGTTTCTAACGAATGAATTTTTTCTTTGAATTTTTTAAGATTAGAAAATGAATGTAGTTCAATTGTGATAAATTTGTGCTATGATTATTAATGTTGAATGTTTAATATTATTATTCTCGGTGCCTATTTGAAATAATGCTTCAAATGATTTAAATGTGCACAGGATCATACCTCGTCGCCTATGTATATTAAATGTTTTTTTCTGTGTCCGATATGGTAAAATTATTGAGGAATTTTTTAATGCATGTGCATATTTTAATGTTGCCGTTCAATATCGGTCTTATATTTGAATGTCAAGATTTTAAATATAAAAGTAAAATCATCAACACCTTCCTTAGAAAAAAAAATAATACAATGTAAAAATGCCACCAACGAATCCAAACAGTGACGTGTTATAGGATAACTATAAAAGTGAAAATTCGACAGCAAAACGTGCTGTGTGGCACTCGTCGGGAGGTTCTTCCTCCGATTATAAAAGACGATTTGTTATCGACAGTAGAATTTAATTATCAGAATGGTAGTATTTCCTATGCAGCCGTTATCGTCACCACTATTTCGAATTAGAAATGGTTCAGTTGTATATACAGATGTATACAGGAATAAAATATATTTGTCTATAATGTGCTAATAGTGATTGATATTGTTTATAAAAAAAAAATAAAGTAATGAAATAAGACATACGTATACGTCTCGTAGTAATATAATATAATGTACCTATATAATAATATACCGTTGTTTTCAATATATAGTAAAATAAAAAAAGTAAAAAGTCATGAATTATACACGGCTATAAATCACAAAATTCAAACGAAAAGTAGTTCATAATACTTTATTTAATGATTAAATTTAACAATTTTACCTAGTCTAGACGCTAGAGTGAAAGTTTCATTAAAATTGTTTTAGTACCTACATATTATCTTTATTTTTTCCGAGGAAATACGAAGTACGTTTAAAAACAAAACTAATAACATATTTAGTCAGTTTTGTGTGCATAGTTGTGTACTAATACCTATATTTCTAAATAATTACTACTAAAAGTGTTTCTTTTTCAAATGCAATATTATTATCATTATTATAAAATCATCAAAACGTATTAAGCCATTCTTTCATTCAAAAACCTTTACAACCACGTCATAACATACCTACACATTATTTTAACATAAAACAAACTTTAAAGTATTACCATTATACATATATTATGAAATAATATAAATATACAATTTGAATTTGAATGATTATTTTGGTATCACATTCAACTTAAATATAACAATATAGTTAAATATTTTAAGTGTGTATAATATGATGTGTTAAATATTCAGTTTTATAATATTCATATATTTCCATTTATTTCAAATCGATGGTACCTATACCCGAAACGAAGTTAACAAAAACCAATATATCCATGGAGGGTGAAACCGACCACTCGGTGTACACTTCACCACACCAGAGGTTGTCCTATGACAGAGGTAAGATGCAAGACACTGTGTGCTGTTTTTTATACAAAATTATGCCTACAGATAAGTACTGATTTTGGATTTTCAAGTTCATAAATTATCGATAAGTTCAGATGTACCTAATTTAGTTACATCGATTTATCAAGTATGGTCCTGATTATTAAGATCGACTTTGAAAACGGCTAAAAGTTATTTTGTATGTGGTACCAACAAATGGAGAAACGACAGTAGTGTAGCTAAATTGCATATATAAATCGCCGTGTGCTCGATATTTTTTTTTGTTTATTAAAAAAATTTAAATAGATAAGTTATTCCCAAACAATTAGACCTATGGAGGATGCTAATATATTAGTAGTATAGCAAATAATGACTCAATTGTTACAAATCCAATTAAATTAAATATTATATTAATAACCCATCCTTATAATTATCGTATCGTATACATTTTAAGTATAATTGCATCAACCATGATTACGAACACAATTAATATCAGTGTATAATACTATAATCTACTTATAAAATAATATTATTATTCATAGACCTCTTTAAATTAATTGTTAATTGCAACATTTTTAAGTTGATTACTACAAAGTAAATTACAATAGATAATAGTTGACATAATATTGAATTTATTGATTGAAATATTGCTACAGCTATTTTAAATGACAACTCTATGAATTTATTTATTTAGTTGCTGTACTACCGTATATAAAATGAATTTCTTGTTCGTATTGAAAAATAGTATTAAAAAAATCGAACAAATATTGAAGAACTTAATACTAAATTATTATTACATTTAATATAATTTAGGTTCGCATAATTAATTTCAATGATATGTGTTTATGTGTTTAGTACATCACATGTTTAAATTAAACCACTCAGTGACTTATAAGCCTTCATCAACTCTATTACATTTCAGCCATCGGGGGAAGGCAGTAGCTGTGACAATGACATATTTAGACGATTAAGTGTCTGTGCATTATAGTTTGCCTGTTTATTAAAATAATATTTTATTTATCATAATATTATTTTTTTTTTTTGACATTCAAATCACCTTTTCATTTTTATAATTTAAAATAATTTCTGAAACATCAAAAAGAAACTGTAATAAATATTTAAACATTACTTTATACATTTGTAATACTATGGTTTTGTTGAAATAAATCTTTTTTTATATTATTTTGCAACAGTATTTGCATTAAATATAATCAAACATCGTGTTGAAATTGAATATTATTTTGAGTTGAAAATTCTAAACGTAAATACAAAAATTTAGAAAGTGGAAACGAGAAAAAAGTATCACTAGAGAAGTGGGTAATTTGTGTTGCCTGTTTCGTATTCAAACGGAGTACGTTTTACAATTTAACAATTAAATATTATATTTTACCATGTACCGTATATACAAAAAAACAGCTAAACAACATGTAATTAAGGTCAAAACATATTATGTACAATCTACTTCTATAGTCTATAGTATGAAGCATAATGTAATTAAGGTCCTAAAACATAAACTACAGTCCATTGGTTTTAGTGTTGTTGTCGTGGGCTATTTAAAATAATTACACACCCTGATAAGAATCTCGGAATAGTAAATACATATTTTAATCTTACCGTATTATAAGTATTAAAATATAAATAACTTTAGTTGAAATATTATTAGAATAATGTAAATAAATGTCTTTTAGGTTTTGACTTTTAACCTAACCTAACCTGAGATTATTTTTATACTCCAGTAATTTACTGTTATGGATTTATTGTTAATCTTAGTTAACAACTTAGACAGTCCTTTCTAAGTAACTGATTACCAATTAAAATATATATATTTAAATAGTATTTTGTCTGATTACTTAGTTTTGATTTTTTTAAATATCATAGTATTTCTATATTTATTTTATAGTAATATTTAAAATATTTTTTTTGTGTGTTGAAAATTTATGCAGGGGCTCGTTAATGGTTATTACTGATATAGACCAAAATCGCACTGTAACCAACACTTAGGGTTTTTACAAACCCAAATCTATAAATATACCAAGAATCCAAACCCCGGTAATTGGCCTGTACGGTATTATGATATTGAGCAGACTAGGAATCGGATTACAGGTTATGATAACTTTAAAATATATATACATACGCATTACACACACACATTATAATTGTCTAACTTACCAGGACACCTGTTGTTTATACTCGGATCTGGCGTCTCTAACTCCTAGCTGACAAGCCAGCCTTTCCATGCACCTCTCAGACTCGAGCAGGTTGCTGAGCACACTCTCCAGGTTGTTCTCCAGCGCCCTGGTTGCAGCGGGCGTCGCGGATGTGTCGTTGGCGGGTTTTGTGGAATCCGTGGCTGGCATCATCATCACCATTTGCGGCTGTTTTGATGACGAGTCAAGGCCAACAAACTCCTTCCACCGCTTCCATAGCGGCTGCAACAGGAGGGCGGCCGGAATGAGCACTGGCAGCGACAGGACGACCACGGCCAGCGGCACGACGAACAGCTTGAGCATGAGCGCCTTAACGGCCAACAGTATGGGTATCTTGGCCAGGAACAGCGTTGCTATAGCCGCCACAACGGACTTGACCAGACCGAACTTTGCGGTGCTTCCTGTCTTCAGCAGGTCAGACAGTATGTTGTTGGTGAATGGTGATGGGCAAGAAACCGACGTGGCTGCAATGGTTAACGTAAACGGTCATTGTTGTAATTATTTCCACTATAAATATATATATATATATTGTTTTTGAGATTTTATTGTGGTAAATTATGTATAATATGCAGCTCATCGATACTATTTTTGTGCACCAGTATAGATAAATAATGATGCAAATTAACACAAACAAATTTGATAGAATTATTTATCTTATAATTTATTAATAACAAATTGAAAGTTGCGTAGGAATTTATTAATTATAAAGTGAAATCATTAAAAGAGTTCTAAAACTTACACCCTGGACCATCTCGCCGTCATCTATTAAATTGTGATGTTTTGGATTCTATTAATAGATGATTTTTATGTAAGTACCTATCTACATAATTTTTTAATTTTTTAATACATTTATCTTATTAAATAATTATAGAAGGTTGAATTGAAAACATTATGTAAAAAACATCGCAATACTGTATTTCATCATTAAAAACTTATCTTAAAACTGGAATAAGGTAGTTTAAACTACATCTTCATAATACATTATGTGCCTATAAAACTTAGACCATCGACTTTATTTTTATAAGTTAACTAAGTGGACTTTGATCTTAAGGCATGATGAGTTACTATTAATTTAATAAGTAAAAATTAGTTTTGAATGTATCACGAGAAGGTTTTAGGTAATAAGGAGACTTTTACTAATTTAATCTCACACAGAACTTTTGAATCACAGAACTGTAACTACACTGAGTAATTAAAAAATTAAATTACCAATTGAATTGCATTTTTTTTTAAAGTAAATTGAAACTATATTTTATAACTGAGACTGAATAAATTATAGCCAGAATGTCTTTAGTTTGTATTGTTACAAAATGGAAACTACGTTCTTAGCTTATTTACAGAGCATTCCAAATGACTATGTACTTACTTATACATAATATTATTTTTAGTTTAAAAAAATACGTTTTAAACAGTGAATTTAATCATGATACAAAGAATCGACGTTGATATAAGATTTTTTTAAGTCAGTTTTTTTTATGTATAGGTAAACAAACTAGCAACTAGGTATGATTTGATCGAATCACGATTTTAATTTAAAATAAACATTCAACTTTATTTATATTTAAATTTTTAGAAATAAAAAAACTTTTATAGATCTTATATTTCAATGAATTTCATAACAAAGTGTTTAGTAACCTAACCTGACGTAGATTTTTCGATCGAATTTAATAATTTACTCTAATAATACAAGTACAATTTTATTAGTTGTGGTTACCTATGTTTAGACGATTCGTATAATTTTGCTTTGAGTATGTAGTTGTATATTATGATACTGTAATTATTTTAATTTATGATGCACCAGCTTTGAGCTACTGGTAAATGCGTAGGACGGTGAAACCAAGTGAAACTTAATTCAATTACAAGTAATATACAAAGTCGGATTAGTTACAGGGAAATTTTGGGACGCGAGCAAATGGACGATAATCTTGAATTGAGCCGGTGAAATAAGCTAAACGAGGAACCTAATAAACTCACCTATATACGTAATATGTACTGTAATTATAGAGTTGACGATGAATTCATTTAAATAAGTTCGAAACTTTCAAGGCCCACGAGGCCGGAGTAGGCAATACATTTATATCGTATTATTATATTCCAGTGTGGCGTATACGCGTTATAGGATAATAGGACAATAGATACCGAGGTGGCTTGAAGTGAATATCTGCCACGTAGCCAACGTTTAAATAGTGAAATGTCAGTGAAAGAACCAGAACTTTTGCCCACGAAATTAATCGCCAGGTGCGATTACGCCCCTGAATTATTCAGGCAGTGACTTTACAAAACTATTATTATTCGGGCGTTCCGTGGTCGTTGTATAATGTTGTTATATTATAATATAAAATCGTTCACTGTCGTCAGTCCTTTGTCTTTGGTTTGAAAAAATATTCATGATCAAAAATAAAGCCCATTGGCTTGCACGTGTCTTAATATAAACTGATAACGTTCACGCGCCTTCACCTGCACCTTATGCGCAGGATATAGTAATACTAATATCGTCAAAATATGACGTCGAATATAATATGAACGTGCGATAAAAGCGTACAATAAAATATCATATTATAAAATTGTATTATTGTCTTAAACGATATATTATTATATCAAGCGGCGACAGCCACGGCGCGTCTGTCGGTGTTCCGGTTTGCCGTTAAACAATGTTTAATCAATTTCATTATTGTAAGCGTCTGAATAAAATTTCTCCCGCCTGTCCGTCCAATGTTGTATTAAGATAATAATATAAATCATAACTGGCGCACGTGCATTGTACTAATATTAATATTATTATTATCATCATCATAAATTAGACGACCGAGTATACGAACGTATATTGTACCCATGGCCCGAGTGTGTGCGTGTGATGCTAAGCCTATCCTTGCCACTAACGGATAATCAAATTATTACTATTGCTTTTGTTTTTCATTTTCGTTTTTATCGAAAATGGAGATATATATATATATGTATCAAATATGTAGGTGACTATATGTAATAATAATAATAATATATTTACATTGTTATTTCGATCCCGCGAGGGTACGTTATAATTGGACCGGCCAAACTATAGGCGTTACAGACATATTATTATACAATGGGAGTTAATTAAATTGATGGTGCACGGTTCGCGGTGCGCGGGGACCACTGATTTCTCTTTCCTACGATGACGGCGATACACGCATAATATTGTACTACTAATATAATATTAATACGAGTACTACCCTCCGATCCGACCCTTGCCGCACGATTGACACGCACACACCCACGCTATAAGTCACGGTAAATCATCGTGAACGTCGGAATCGATCAGTCGACCGTGAACTTTCAATCAGGTTTAATATAAAAATATTATAATACGTAGTGCAGTTATATGTGTACACCATTTATATGCGTCTACACCGATGCAGCCGTAAAAAAATATAATTTTTCACGCACCTTTAGCCCGAAAATTCGTTGCGAATTGATGGTAACTACCTATATCGGTTGCGCAGGTGTTCGGCGCGCACGTTTATTCAATAATAAGCGTTTAACGCGTGTAATATTGTATTTTTCATCCACACTCCTACGTAAAACGAACTTCACATATTTTCTCTCTCACGGTTTTTTATATTTTTATTTTTTCAGTTTCCTAACACGATAAATGCTCGTGGAGAACCAATAATGCAATCAACGGCGCTTCATGAAATGTCAAATGAATACATAAACATTATAGACTATTAAAGTGAAGTGCAGTGATACTTAGTAATGTATGTTTTACTGCGAGTAAAAAACAAGCCATATAAATACCGTCAATTGGTTATATACTTGTATTATAGTCTGTATTGTAATAATGTTATATTATACACTCTCTAATAAACTCAGTATGATGTATATATTTTATTAATTATCATAATATCATAATGTATTAAGCATTTAAGCCTGTGAATACTATATAAATGTTTGATCACTTTGTTGAGATCACGTCTGTATAGACATTTATAACAATCGGAGCATCAAAAGATAAGACACAAACACTACATCCATATCTTTTACGTGGTATATGCTTTCAGTAGTTGATTTCTAAAGTGAGTTGATAATATTATAATATTCTGTTTCAGATTTTCCTTATATTGTTACGTATAAACATCATAGTTGAATATAATTTAATCATTAATTTGTTTTGAATAATTTTCATATACATTATACTCACTATACTGTAATAACAGCTCATAAAAAGGAACTCATGCCAAAACTCATGAAAGTTATATTCAACTATGAGCTTTTACACAATACGATATGCATAAAAATGTTATTTTTTCTGCTTAACATAAATCCAATCACCCAACCACATTAATTAAGAATAACAAATAGCTTTGTAAAAAAAAAACTAAGACAATAAAAAAACTTTGTGCTTACATCAACTAATTTTTTTATTTGAAAGCTTTTTAAAGATATTTATTTTAAATTCAAATTTATTTTAAGAATAAAACGTCTTGTCTAATACACGTTAAGTTACAAATACTTAAACAACCAAACGTTTTATTTATCGTTATTTTGTTTTCAAAATAATAGACGAAAATTTAATGTGTACCTATACAATTGTATTATATTTAACATATTTTTAATATAAATTATTATCCTACTAGTTTAAGATAAATTTGTGAACAGTGTCCTTTTTATTTTTATAAAATTATCTAATATGTAGCAAAATTATTTTCAGAGCCATTTTATACAAAAATTATTATTTGCTAGCAACACCATTCATAAAAAAGAGACTGTGTCTAATGCTAAAATGTCTCATGTAAAAAAAAAAATAATAATAATAACGTTATAAATATTTATGTATTATATATAATATAATATGTACTCACACATAATTTTTTTGACGTCCCAAATGACAATGATTTATGGTCCTGAAGAGTAATCCATTAAAGACTTTAACGTCATCTTTATATATAAATGTTATTTAATTTGTGAGTATAATAATATGAGCCAATGATAGATTTAATACACTAATCATTATTATATCTAACTTTAGATTGAAGCTCAAACGAATTATAAAAATCAAAATTATTATGTATGGTTTATTATTTATTCCTCATTATCTACATACAGGTCTTTTATCATATACTCGTATATTGAACTTTCACAGAAGGTTTCTCAGTTATATGTATACACATATTATATTACTAATATACCAATTATATTATCAATGTATACCTAACTTGAATTTGCTTAAATTAATTTACATACGTGGATAGTAGGGTGTTGCATAACTGGGTTTCCTTTTTTTCGTATCATCTCCATATCCAGGATAGTATGATGGACTGTAACCACCGGGACTGGAATAAGACGGGTTGTCAGCTGGCGCAGATGGTTCAAAAGTTATTTCTGAAATTTTTTAAAGTTGTAGTTACATTTCACACTAATAGTCTCACACTTAAAGTTTATTTTTGAGAATAAATCATATTGATGGCCTAAAGGTACCTATGAGATATTGCATTTAGAAATATTATAAAATAGATAATAATAGTATTTTTGTGATTTCTTGAATTAAGATATTATACAATATATTATCGAAGTACTTACCTTATATCAAATTATATTAAATAATAAATAAAATAAAACTTATGTACTTTGCATTAAGAATTATTTTGTAAAATTCTATGAATGTTTTAAGCTCTACTGTCTCTACTTATGAATTTCATATTTGTATTGTTACTAAAATTTGGTTCAATAAATACATTTTTTAATGAGAATAAAGAGGAAAGTAGGTATGTATCATAATATTTTTGTACAGTATTATAGGAGTTGATAGTAAATCATCATCGAATAGATCACTATAATGGATGTGTTAAATTTGAATTCAATGATAAATCATTTCATACGAAAGAGGATTCTAAAAAGAGATCGTCAGTCAGCCCATATTATTACTTATAAATTATCAATAACTATACATTGCTATTATAGTAATTTATTTTACTACGGTAAAAAGCACAAAGTTGGTTTAAATATTTTGAAAATTCCATCCCATATAGTAAAATATAAGTGTATACTTAAAAATATCAAGTCTTCTCGAATATTTTTGAATAAATCAATACAAACATCCCATCAGAATCTAAAATGGGGGTGGACCGGGTTAAGTCAACTATAAAGTTAACACACACCAAATTCAAGTTTTAAAACCTTAAAAAAACCCCGCCTGTCGCCTATGCATCGAACATAATAATATAATTATATTCATTATTATTACACTTAAAACTAAAATTGTTTGATTAAATCCATTTATCCATTCAAGTGTTCAATTCATTTTTCAGGTGAATAAAAAATCATATTTTCTTGAATGTGCATAATTACTCTTATATCAAATTACTAGTTACCAAAAATATAATGAAATTATACAATAGTTGTAAAAATTAAAACCCCAGCTTTTTTTAAATAGGACAATAAATGGAGAAAAAATCCATTTTTAGCCTAATTGAGGTAGTTAATTTAGGACAAATTGACACGAGTATTTGTCATAGTTATATGATTCGGATGATGATACAGATTAGTCTCACAGATTATTTGTACGTCTATCAATCATGAAATCTTTAATTGTACATAAGAAACGATAGTTATCCAAATTAAGTTATTTTTCAGTCATTATCAGAAATTATTAATATGTAATATTTTTACATTTATTCTTAAAAATAGAAATTGTTTATACATAGTTCCAAATAAACACTTTTAGTGAAAATATTTTATATCACAATGATTTATTTATGTCTCTGTAAATAAAATTATTTTGTCATAGTTTTAAGGAAAAATTATTTTTAGTCATTGGTTTTAGTCAACTAACTCCGTAATTTGAAACAAATTTTATTTTTCTCATTTTAATTATTGCACATAAGTTGTTGTATCATTAGGATGATTATTGATTACTGTTTAGAAACTGAAACGATATACTGCATTTGAAAATGTTTAAAGTAGAATTATGGTGTGGAGAACAAAATATATGAAGAGTGCGCCCATTAGCCCTGTGGTCTCATCTATTGAAATTGCATGGACACACTTACTACGGTTTTGAAACATGTCGGATTTTATAAAGAAATTGATTCAATTATAATCTCAGTTTTCCAATTTTTGGACTTAATGATTTTTTGAGAGCTGTAGTATTTCAAATGATTAATACACTGTATATAGCACGCTGTTCTTCGAGGGCATTCAGTCATTGTTATTTGGTTACACGTAGGTACAAACAGACGGATTGAATAGAAGCTTGTTTGGATTTTAAATAGCTATTGTTAGTTGAACCGAGAAATAAAATACATTTTTAAGCAATACGAAAACAAATAATTACAACTTTCCCTCCTGTGAATTGCTATGGATCGTATATATTAATTAAATTATATATTTTTTGTTATCAATTCCAGTGAAAGTCTTTGATTTACGACAAAAAAGTTGTATTTACATAAATGTGGACAATACACTCAAAATCATTTGTGTTTATCTCGTTTGTTCTAGGTGGGTTTTGTTATTTTTTCCGATGACGCATCCTATTTTGTTTTACAATACCACTCTAATTACTCCTCTGCAACATTTCTGTGTACTTAGTCCGTCCCAGAAACACAACATTCTTTAAGAAGAAACAAAATACTAATAATAATAGCAACAATATAATATTACCTTTCATAAAGACTGTCAACCGTCATTAGGGGAGAGTTTATATTTCTAGGACATACTCAATTGTGTACCTATTTTTGTTAATATATTCACTGCTGTATTATACTCTATTTTCATACATAAATATTTGTCTTTTAATGTGTGTTTACAGTTATGTTTTTGACTTCGTATTAACCTATATATTGTATTATCAATGACTACGGTATGTGCTCTTTAATATAATGACTGTGGTAAGTGATCGTAAATATAATTTTCACATTTAAATGATATCTTTATTTTAATTTATTCACATAAGATAGTATTATATTTTCATGCATATTTAATATTTAGTACCTTCGTTTTTCGTATGTGATTGACACATGATTATCACAATAATTCGTCTTCATCGAGAAATCATAACATTTCTGCGTAACTTATCGAAGATGGGTAATTTATATTATGTATTTTATTTTGAAATCATCTCCATGTTTAAAGACAATCAAAAAATGAAATTCTTAAAGTTTAGTTAAAATAATGTGTTACGGATTCATATGCACTCAGTGTAATAATATTATAAAGATTAGATTTTCTTTGTTTGAAAATATGTTGGAAAGAGATTCGTTGAACTTTTAAGCTATAACATTATATATTATGTATAACAGGCTAACACACATTGATATTACTATATTTTATAATTAATATTTCAGTGAAATATTACACAATAGAAAAGCTTTCATAACTTCAGCGTATGGTCTATGTATATATATATATACGTGATATTATATTACTATATGTAATCACCTATATTATTTTATGAGCACGATTAATGGTCGTTTCTGATATATATTTTTATATTGTTTGTTATTATTATACTCGAATATCAAAAGAAAATCCCTTGTACTGACAACTGACAGGTGCCTGAGAGTTTACTGCAGTGGACATCAGATAATGTATAGTGTACCTACCTATTTATTCGCGTTTTACTGCTCTACAACTTAACATTGTGTTCTAGGATATTTTTCAAGTCTGAAAATTGATGATTCAAAATTTTAGCCATTACAATTTACTTTTGAAGTTTTAAATAGAATTCCAATACGTGATTTTATATAAATACCAATAATAATTTCTTCTTGTCTTTGATATTTATGAAATATTATTTTAAGGAAATTAACAAACTACTAAACTACATCTATGATTTTATTTTTTCGATTTATTATTATTTGTTATTTATGACTTATTGGTTATAGACTCGGAAGTATTTTTTATTCTGCTTTAACGCATGCATCAATTTATCGCATTTGGGTTTTAAGTTCAGCCGTTTTTTTGCCGTACCTGACGATCCGTAACTGGAGCTTGGTGGCCCGTAACTGGCTGGATAGTTATTGTAACCGTAAAATTCTGGGCCACCCGAATAATCTCTGCTCTGCGGAGACGACGATTCGGGAGCCGGTTCTGATGTGCGACGTTCGGGAATCGTCTCAGACCCACGACGATCGTCTTTCATCGGCATAAAACCCACAGATCCCGTTTGACCGGAGTTCGGATCGACTACGCTGAACTGCTGCTGCATAAGCTGCTGGCAACTGGCGGCCGCCAATAACGCCGCAAACACTGTCGCCGCTTGGATCATCATCGACACAGTCCTGCAAATTCAAACTTTTAAGTTAACTATGTATGTTATATTACGGTAGTATTGTTATTTATTGAATAAGCTATCATTTAATTCTAATACCTATAGATGTTAGGTATCTGCCATGTAGTATACAAATATAAGATATAAAACCTAAATGAGAATAATAGTAAATATAAAACTTCAATATTTCGAGTATAATAATAACTCTAATAATAATGATAATAACATTTCTAATTTTAGATTTATTTTGTTTCGTCAAAAGTAATATAATATTCTCGAAATTGTACTATTGTTTATATATTATTTTAATGATCACGTTTCCCCAAAAATAAAACAATCTTGAATTTTTATTATTTTCCATTTTCCATTTCCACGTCGAGGGTAAAAAAATAACGAGTTGAGTATATACTATATGAAACGAAGAAACGGTATAATTGAATTGCTTAGTACGATGTATTCAAACTATTAAAATAAATTGTATTCTATTTTTTTATTGCATACAATTTGAAAAATAAACATTTCGACTTGATCGTGTTCGTTTACTTGGACCATCGAAGATGATAAGTTAATAATTTATCAAGTAAATAATTAATAACGTAGTCGTATAGATAACACAATCATTTTAATCCTAAAACAGATAGGTACATTCAACTAGTAAATGATATGAGTTTTCATTTGGTTTTATATTTGACTCAAAGTTTGAATTTTGTAAATTGCTCAGTTATATACCTACTTGTATATTATAATTGTATTTACATTATACATTATACATACCTACTGCGATACAGTGTAAAAAACAATTAAAAAATATTTAAGCCACAACCATTTTCGTAAAGCATAATGTGCAACGGTACATGCCTGTCTTACATCGATACCAATTAAGTATGCACGTCTTATAATTCGTTACATAATAGAATAATTTAAACTCAACCATTATTATTGTAAATTATAGGTGGACATTGATTTGAATTGGGTTCAATCGATTTATGGGCTAACAACGACTACACCGTGAAGTATATTATACCAATATTATTGCTGTTATTGCCGTAAAACATTGTTGGATAGTTTCCATTTTAATTGTTCCGAGTACCCGTTTGAGGGGTTCGACAAAATTTCACTCAAAACTGTCATTACAGATTGTTGAGTTCTTTGTTACGACAGTTGTTTTGGCGAACGTACGTGTTCCAATAAACGTGGGTATGATGCTATATTATGACGTAGCAAAATTTTATAAGCCTATTGGCCGACGAGCTTGCGCCACAGAGAACACCGATGCAAGTGTGAACTTTTTAAATCGATTTACATCGCGTATCGACCCAATCAACACATTTTACCTATCGTCTACTACAACAGTATTAAGGTAAAGCATATTATTAAGCACGCCAAACATTTTACGAGCGTATCGCCGAGAGGCACATACGCCGTTGGTAATAAATTATACGCATTTTCGTAGAGCAACTATTTATTATATGGTATGGAATAAAATACAAATAAACAAAATACTATCCGCTTAAAACGTCTGTTTTGGCTTTTCAGACAAAAATCTCTGACCGAAAAATGTGTGTAGGTTTTAATATTTTATAATATTATCACGATGATGAACTATTATTATAAGCACCGCATCAGTTTTACATTTCTACAAGCACATCAATGACTACATTGCTTAAGTTGAGTCACAAATACTACAAATATTTCATCATACTTGTAAATATAATTGTACTTAAATTCAAATGGTTGCATTACTCTATACACACGATTTGAAACTGCTTTAAGTGTTAGCTGTATGAGTTAAATATAACTTTTGTTCATATATCTATATTCTATACTTATTATTTAGTTTTAAGCTTCCTTCAAATTATTTGCTGTTTTATTCCTGAAATTCAGAAATACTTACATATTATGTTAAGAGAAAATAATTATAATCATTTTTCGGAGACATAAATTATTGTTTTGATACTGAAGTGTTATACAAAAGAATACTCCTCCCAATTCCTCCACCAGACAATGTAACAAGATGAGACAATGAATTGTAATGTCTTGTATAATATATATAGGTACCTATTTAACACCAATGTTATTATATGCATCAAAAAAAGTAAATACAATTACATTTTAAGCAATTGTCAGCCAGATACGCTTACCCTAAATAATAATATTAATAAAAATGTTTTGATACACAATTGTTTATTTAATGTGATAGTATATTTTAATATATTAAATATTATTAAGATATTTGATAGAATAAAAGAACTAACTCCTGAAATAGTTGACTCCATATTAGTTGAAGACAGTTTAAAGTAAAAACGAGATCAAAGTCACAGTGGCTTTGGACTACAGCCTAATATTTATTATAACATCGACGCGGATTCACCCGAATGACCTGGCCGAATAAGAGGACTTTCAAATATACCTAGACCTATTTTCCTCTTATGGTCATCGACATATTATAATTTATATTATTTGCAACACTCGTTTATTTCCGTTATCGCAAATACGTCCACCCCTCCCACCCACAATTTAAACGCACGCCGTGTGTTAAGAACTCAATTATTTAAGGCTGTACATATTATGAATAAACCCGAATCCACGGGACGCACGTAGAACACACGCGCGCACGTTCCGATCACATCATCATTCGGCCAAGATTTCTGTTGTTTTCACTAAACGGATCGTTCGTCATGAATGGGTAGAACAAAAAAAAAATTTGAAATCTGCCGAGCATCGTCAATGCCCGGGCGTCTCTTCTCCATTGAAAGACGCTACATGAATAAAGGCTGATTTGTCATTGTTGTCATCGATATTGTACACACGGCGAGCGTTCGACCGGCGAAAATCTCTCAGCGGCAGAGCGACGGCGCATATGATAATTTATTATATTATTATTAAAATATTGGGACGTGCGAGTGGATAGAACAATAACGTCGCCAGTGAAGAAGTTTCCGGCATTGTCTCGGGCTCGCCACCGCAGTGTGTTCCGTACTCGACAGTCGACGACATCCTCACTTTTAGAACATATTGTTATAATATTAATATTATTTTATTATTATTAATAATAGTAGTAGTAGTAGTAGTAGTAGTAGTACCAAGTCTGTTGTAGTATTAAACCATAATTTATAGTAGACTGTGGCAATGGTATATAGTGCACGAACGCAAAACAGTTGCACACATACAACCGAGTAACTGACGTATTATACATTACGTGAAGTGGTCAACAGTTATAATAAATTGGCGGTCGCGAAATGGCTGTGAATAGAGTTCGTTGAATAAAAACAATAATAATATTATCTAAGCGCAACACTCAAAAATAGGTAGAACATATTTTGGACCACTCGTGTGGCCGGTTATGAGTTGTTTATTAAAACGCATTCCGAATTTCGTACTCAAAATAATAATCATAATAATTAGGTAGGTTTTCAAAGTTAATTCGATATTATCACACAGGTTGCAAGCGACGGCCTAAAACTACATCATTAGGTATAATAAAAAATGTAACTGTGCTGTAACGAAAACTGGCAGAATCAATGGACGTAGAACACAATATATTTTTTGTAGACTATAATATATACTAATAAAATATTAATATTAGCTCACGCATCGTAGAGTTAAAGTTGTTTATTGCATAAACTTTTTATTTCATACAAAACATATACTTTGATGTACAGTGTGAATTCCATCGTAAGTAATATTAGTTTGTGGTCGAATGCATATTTTAGTATTATATACCCATACAAATATTTTTGAGGGTGCACAAATTGCGAAGATCTCACATCACATACATGTGTAGGTTTTTCTCCCACCCACCCCCTTTCACACTCCTTATGTATATTTACTACTTATATTTCAATACAAATAATATTAGTAAAACAAATACAGCTTAACACAATACAATTTGAACATCTAAGAAAAACATATACATTCTGAAATAATGTGAAATGTATAACGATAAATTAAAAAAGCTTAAAAAAAATATTTAACAGAAAAAAAGAAGCTTTTCACTATATTATAATAATATAAAAAATATATTAATGTTTTATACTACTTCAATACATCAAGAATCAGTTATCTTTAAATGTCGTACCTACTGCGTTTTACAACAATTTTTGATTGCTTAAGATAATGAACTTCTGTTTTCAATGTATCAAAAAAATAAATTTAAAAAATATGCCTAGTTGATGCATTTAAATTAATAAATAATTTTTTCAAATAAATATTGATAATTATATATTTTTATATATATATATATATTGGTTTTTTTTTTATAAAATTGTCCATACTATTTATTTTTTTAGAAATATGCGTAAATGTGAAAATTAAGTTGTTTACTCGAAGAATTCCATTAGTTGTAGACGTATTTATGCAGTAAAACCATGTTTAAATGGGAAATAAAATAAACAGAATAAATGTCAAGATGAACAAAACGCTCTTTATGGCTTAACTTACAGACTTACGAAAGGAGGGATAAATTATTGATCGTTATTCTGCTTGAATAAATAATATTATAATTTATAACAATCTTTCAGAAAAAAAATGATTATTTTAATTATAGAAAATGTTTTATTTGTTATTAATATACTAGGGACCATTATACTGACCCAATTATAAAAAAAGTGATCGTGTACATGCATTTTATATATCTTTTTCAATTATTTATGCACAATAAAATTAAATTTACAGTAAATTTTCACCTCCAAATAAATTATAATTTTTACTACTTTTACTCATACATGGTAAATTGATATTAGACAATACTTTACTTGAAATATAATATTAATTGAGTAACTTGGCAAAAACTTTTTAATGTACATATTGTACTGTTTTTTCAAATAGTTATAAGATAAATATAAATACCACATAAATAAATCATTGATATTTAACTTCATTATAACTTAATAAGTGTTTAAATACAAGTGCATCAAAATGCTAAAAAGTATTTTTAGTTTTAGTTGCATGGGAACAATTAAAAAAATTATTAAGAAAAACCTTCGCTTATTAATTGGTTTTTTTGATTTAATCAAATATATATTTTTATGAAATAATAAAACTTTGTGCTATTCAAAGCATGGATGTTTATAAAATAAACAGAAAACTCAACCATTAGTGAAATTCTCTTCTATGTTACAGATTATAACATACCTAACTTTAAGGGTAGACACAAGTCATCTGAGTTATTTTTTCCGCGTTTTTCATTTTTTGAAAATTATTTGCATCGTGTTTATTTTGAATTATACAATATGTATTAAATTCAATTAAATTAAAATATTTTAAATAAGACTTGTAATGGGATTAAATATTATTACTTTGAAACTATTTCTTATAAGTCATTCATAATTTTCGCTTTTATATAATTTGACATTTTTCTTATATATATATACAAAAAATAATAAGGGTAGATGAAGAAACGTTCATTTTAAACATTCATAATTTAAAATATAATTGTATTAACGGATTTAATGTTAAATTTACATTAGGTTTATTATTACTTCTAAGATTTAAGTTGTATTTTATTTTTTAAATAATTAGGTTTTTTATTGTTATTTATTTAAAAATGTAATCAATAAATATTTTATACACAAACATTTGTAATTTACATACATTTTTTGCATCTATAAATTGCTTCGCTGATGATTTTTTTTTAAATGTTGATGAATATAAAACAATATTTATACAAATAATTTTTGGAATTTAAAACTTTATGTAAGTACTATCAAAAATTAATGATAATCGATGAAAATATTAAGTTAAAAGGCTATGGTAATTTGAAAACTATTGAAATTGATAAGGATTATTATTAATATACATTTTTTATTTTGTACTATAAAGTTCAATAACTAAAAAGTCATTAGTCTAAATTTTGATTTAGATGTACCAAAATGTTCAAAAATAATAATTTGCTTATACATTTATAGGAAAGAGGGTGGATATTGTTTTAAAAAAAATATCTTAACTGTATAAAATATCTAATTATATGTAAATATGGTTTTAAGTAATTTTTTAAAAACTCTAATTTGAAATATCTAATTACAACTATAATTAGTATAAATTAATTGTTCATAAGAATAGAGTGAGCACTCAAGGTGAATCACTCTGCGTATTGGTTTGATACTAAATTTTCTATAAAACAAACGAGGATAATAACATTGGTAAATATTATATGAAATTAAATCATTATCTTAGCTAAAACTATAAAACCCAAACTCAAACGTGGGCAAGATATTCCAAACCACAAGACCATTAGTTTAGTATGCGAATAAATATATTCCAGTAAACATAAACAATGAACCCATGTACGTTTATCTATATTACTACCAAATGTGAAAAGCCCAAACGTTAATGTTTAATGACACTTTCATCAACGTTAAACAGAGTTTACCACGTAAAAGCAATTGATTTTTACTAGCTGTAGGTAGTAAAGCCAGGTTACCTACTGTGGTTGTACGACAAACTCGAATCGTTACAAAATGCATTTTTTTTTTAAATTTCTTTCGACCAACTGAAATTAACAATGTACGTGAAATACTAGCCATGGACCTACGCAATTAATTGCATCAATTTATCTAACCACAATACCAGATACGCTTCAGCCAAAGTCATTAAATCGTAGTAATGCGTACTTTTATAATTACCTGACTGCGATGTTATTGAAAGTAGTCACCTCGAAAAGGATAAATTTCGTCGATCGATTGGAGTCAACTGGCCACGGCTATTGCACTCGATGCTCGGTGCAGTTTTTTTTCGGTCCCGTGTTTGAGATTAAAATGTAAGGTTCCAAAATAAAAAAAAACGAAAACTGGAAAATTGTATACCGTCAGAATACGAAACCCGGACGAGAAGGTCGGTGGAGCGTTTACGATATCTCACAGGGGCGAACTATGATCGTGGTAGTGGTTCGAATTCACGCGGATGCTGTTGCTGTACGACTCGGATGCCGGCGACGGAAGCCATTTACTGATACGACCTGACTCTGATGATGGGTATGTGTATGTCCTGTGGTGACCGGACGGTAAAGCTCGCGGTAACACACTAACGGCTGTGAGTGCGGTCCACTGCTGTTTTTATCAGCCGCCTCGCCCCGCGGTTTTCGAAAACAAAACAAAACGAAATAATCAAGCCGCCGTCCTCCTTGTTAAAATTCCACACGCCTTTGCCCCCGCGCTGTTGCCCCACACCCGATGATGTGTGTGTGTGTGTGCACGTGTTATAGTATAAGTAGCGGCGACAATATAATAAAACACATTGCCTCAGACGCACTTTCTACCACGGGGGGAGAGCCGAATATATGTTGAATCGTATAATACAATATATCGTACCTGGTATAATACATGTATCTACATGTACGCGTCCCGGCAATCAATGGACACACACACACACACACACACACACACAAGCTCGCACTCGTACGTCAGTGATTTTTGCCTACAGTTAATTTGTACGCATTAGAATAATATGTACCCGGTCGTAATTTTCCTTTTTTTTTCCATTTCATTTATGTTTTGAACTATTCGTTTCATTGACGAAGGAGGTAGGCACACTCATCTGCACACAAGCACACGCAGTCTCACCCACCGACACGGCCGCCACTTATTCAGATTCGAACCTAGATTCTGCGTGCGTCTTCAACCCCGCCTTAATTTTTTTTTCTCTCATCCGTGAACGATGTAACATCCATCTCCGGTTCTGATATTATAATATACGCATAGCCGCGTGGTCTTTTATCTGGGCTCGTATAATATTGTATGCATATACCCGTATAGTGCGTAAGACGTTTGTGAAATGTTTCGTATAGCAGTCAGTTCAATCGCCTATCGGACGGAATATCCATAGTATAATAAGGTGGAAAGTGTTTTTTTTTTATCATTATAATTATCATCCACCTGCGCACGCTCGGATGTCAATGCCGCGCGGCTCACACATTTCAACCAAATACGCAGAATACCGCCGCGCTCGTGCAACGCGCCAGAAAAATATAATTACCGACTATTATAACTCATAAGTGAATTACGTCCGGATTACAAAATAAATGGTTGTAATACTATAAAATATATAACACGCACTCGAGACTCGTACATTAATAGTGTAATAATAATTATATATAGTGAATGCATTCATAACTGAATAATAACTGAAAAAATGTACGTATACCTACAAGTAGATGTGAGGCGAAATATATTTACGAATAAACAAGATAATTAATTCACATACGTATTCAACCAAATGCTGATTTACCTTGTGCATAAGTGTGCATGCACCCGGGTTTATTTGGTGCACGGTACAAGCGATGAAAGCGTGAGAGGGTGCCAGGGTGGTGCAGGTTTAAATAGGCTAAATCAGATTATTGGGAGGACATAAAAACCATAACGGAAAGTCGAACGTCACACGCTGCAGCGTTTCACTATACTACCTACCATACTACCATGCTAGTCTAATATGTATGTATAAACGAGGGTATTATACGAAGGGTTGAATTGGAATATCGAAAAATAAACGCCAGCCGTAATGGCGCCGAACTTTTGAGGTAGTTATCTGCAGCCATACTATAATAATAATATGTGGATGCGAGATAACATAATAACATGCAATTTGCATATTTATACAAATGCAGCTAGCATGATGTGTACGTGTATTATACTACTTTCGATACGTCTGTTTAGGTACTTATTTCATATTTGATGGATGGAAATCGTTTTTGTTGCGTCTTTTGAATTCTGAGCGGAGTCAGGGAATGATAATATGGTTTCTTATCTAAAAAAAAAAAAAAAAAAAAATAGGTACCAGTCGAATTGTTCAAAATTGTTTGCACTATATTATAGAAATAAGAAAATAAACACCTATTTTTCTTTGAAGAGTCATTAAAAATTAAAATATTTTAACCATTTTCCTAATTATTTAAGGGCATTTTGAGAATATACTTAATATACAGTACTTACTATTTTTTAAACTTTTCAATCTATAATATTTTTAACTGTACCTACATACCTTAGTTATAGAGTTATTATTTTTTTTTTTATTTATACAGACTAATGAATTTTTTAATACCTAACTCATGTTGCAATAAAATCAATTTATTTTTACAAAAACTGAACCTCACAGTAAAAAAAATGATTGCGAAATACGATAGGCAATTAAACTTAAAAATAATAATCAACAAAATTCATCTGGTTTTATCGTTTGAATATATGGTAAGTTAAAACAAATAAATTATTGCATGACAAACAAAATATATTATACTGGCTGTAAGGATTCGATTGCAAATTGCAATATACGAGTATAATTTAGTATCAGTTAACTTTTAAAAGCGTCATACATTTTTCATAAGAAGTTACAAGAAATTACAGAAAAAGTAATTAATATAATGTACCTGCTGAATCAAAGTTTATAAGTTAGTTAAGTTTAAACCATACAATAATTATATTTACATTTATGAGGACGCTGCACTCGGGCATTTGTTGTCTCTATCTTACAAGTGCGTAACATAGCAAATTTACGCTCCACAGAGTACGTTTAGCTCAGTTAATTTTTTACGATAATTAAGTTTTAAGTGAGTTATTCGATTTTTAATTGACGCTTTATTATGTACGCAAAATTTGCTTCAAAATCCTAAAAATCCCACAAACCAACAGCGATAAAGTTCTTACCGCGTCTAATTTCATTATGGGTCGATTCACACTAATTTTTAAACTAACGGAGCTTGAACGTGATTTGCTGAGCTTGAATTTGCTATGTTACGCACTTTTAAGACAGAGACAATAAATGTCCGTGAAGTGTCCTCTTAACTAACATATTTTTACTATAATATATGCCTAATACTTTGATGATACATACCAAACAACACATGAGTAGGTAGGTACAAGTTAATAAAAACTGTGACTTATTTTTTTTAACAATAAAATGTATAATGACTTTATGTAATATAATAGTAGATAGGCTGTTATTGTTGTACGAACTAATAGTTTATGAAATATCGTTTTCACTATTATGCATTTTTAGAATAATGAATTTCTCTTCATGAAATGTACCTTTGGAAGCTTAGCATGATCAAATAATTGTAGAAATTGAAACGACACTCTATAATTATATAATGCGTATTATGGTCAATAAAATATAAAAAATTGCTCAGCATTCATATTTATAGTTATCAAGAAAAAATAAATTTATTTCATTAATTCTGAGTGATTAATTTGATTTGATTATAATTATTGAATGGCTTAATTATACTACTTGATTATAATGAATACAATATTTTGCGTTTTGATTGAATCATATTGTGTTTTATTGAAACAAAAGTATATTTTATTGAATAGTGATTTTGATTTTATTTTTTAGTGTTTTTAAACTATATATAAGCTATAATTGTAGTGTACTTATATGTTATATACCAATATGAGTCGATAGACATAATGTTATTTATTTGAATTGTATATTCAATAGTTGGAAAAAGTTCCTATAATCACATTGTATAAAATGTTAATGTGTGATTTCAATGTTCTATAAAATTATTTGTTTGATAGTATATGCACCTACGGGTTAACTGAATGTCAATGTTGGAAAATAAACTGGAAACACTTGAACTTTTTTTAATCCCCAACTAGGTTACAATTGAATCTGAAAAATAATAATAATCAATCACCAAATGTCGATATGTATTACTTAATATTTATTTATAAATTAATTGTATCTACGTACTTAGTTATTTAATTTAATTTGTATCTGTACTCAACGCCCTTGGACATTTATAACTTAAATAAAATATAAATAAATACATTTCTTATTATCCCTGTATAGGTACTACATATTATGTTGCAGTATATTATACTTCCATGTAATATGTCAATGCAATTCGTAACAAAGTTATTTTCAATAATATTGTTGATCGCCCTTTTTCTATGGAAAGTCCAATCAAAGTTTAACTTACCTAACTTATACCATTTGATTTTTGATTTATTTCCCAGTTAACTCAAAACTAATATTTACCTTATTGCACCAATTCCTACTGCTTGGTGATTTATTCTAACACATGGTCATACCCAATAATCCAACCAAAATAAAGGTTGTGAATGTAGTGTAACGGTATGTGAAAGATAATCCAATTGTTTCAATATTGTACATAATTAGTATTTGTACTCTATTGTGCTTCAGTTTTATTTCTAGTTATTTTAGTTATAGTTTACACAAGTCTTCAAAGTTTAAATCGATTTCTATAAGTGTAAGTTGATGACCGTACACGTAATATAACTGAACAAATTTATACAATGTACTAGACACTAGTAAAGTAGTAATTATTGTTTTCTACTTGTCTGTAATATTATCGTTAACCGTTGTTTAAATACACTGTCCAAATAAAATAATAAACTATTTAAACTTGAAACTAATAATAATATAATACTATGATAGCATCATAGAATTGCAGAACCCGCGTTTCTTGAACGTTATTACTTCAAGTCATTAATTGTCTAATGAGAATTTATTGGTTCGAGCAATATCGTACAATCCTATTGTCTGCACACATTTAATTATAAACTAATTTCATGTTATTTGGTTTGTTATATAGTTGAAATACAATATTTTTTTTTTTTTTTCATTTTAATATAATACCAACGTTTAACTAATAATAAATTCAATATAAACTTTGTCACAACTCCCGATGATTTTCAAATACATATAAGTTAGCCTGAAAAAGGCACACGACATAATGATTCATATTAAAAGGAGATTTTAAACTATGCAGTGGAGATGGCACACCAGGTCAGGAAAAACGAATAATTAATAAGACCTATTTCTCGATACCAGTTTCTGTATTTCATACCACATATGTTTATATTTGACAACCACATAATCAATGATGGTAATTTTATAATAATATCATTATATTCAAGTATTTATTTATTGAAAAAATTGTCAAACAAAAAAGAGACGTAGGTACTAAGAATTATCACGTCCGGTGCTATTTTGTTTTTTTTCCGTCCCTCAATAGAATTATGACCAAAGTATAATATGCTTAAGAAATAATGTTTTTGACGTTGCAAAATAACGAAAAAAATAAAAAAAAATGTCCAACAAGATCACAATATTTGTGGCAAAAAATATTATGAATACAAAAAAGTGCCAACCAAAACGACCGTCACGTATAGTAAGCGCATACAGAATGATATTAATACGTTTTCACATATCATTAGGCATTTCTTTAAATATTTATACTTCTAAGTAGGTGTCTCTAGACCATTGACCTTTGGTCATTCTTAAAGGAATCGTTAAGAATCGAAGGGCAAGGCAAATATGAAGAAATATGGTCGGCGGCTACCACCGTTTTCCTTTAAGACTGATCCGCGGAATACATCGCGGTTAACCGCTAGCGAGTGACGTATACCATATTAATACATGGACAGTATGGTCGCTTACTCGCTTTGACCTATATTTAAAACCATTAACCGTGGTAGTTACATGGTGTACGAGCCATCGACAAAAGATAGCTGTTTCTCCTGTTACTATTGTGGTACTGGTTTTCATGTTTCACGCCCCGTAATGCTGCAACTTGGACCAAGCATGAGATAACTTTTGAAATCGATTTCACGATTTCACCCCCCCCCCCCCCCCAGCCACATATCACCTCGGCTCATCGTAGTATGGAATCTAATATTAAAATTTAAAAGTCATTGAACACATTGTTTACAAGCAATATTTATATGGAATAGATTATAACTTATAAGTATAATATCAGATAAAAATAAAATTATTCTTGACAAATATTTGAAAGGCTAATTTTCAACACGGGGGCTAGGTGACACTTAGCCACGAATATACCCTACAAAAAAAAAAAATGCCTATAAAGTGTTATTGTGTAATGGAGCTTTCAAAATTGTGAGTGGCATAGATACTAAAAAAAAAAATTGAAGTTTACATTTTTATTATTATTATTATTTTGAGCTAATAAATCATCAGAAAATATAAGACACTCATTTAGAATTTGAAATTGTTTTTTACAAACATTATATTATTATTAAAAATATGTATAGTTTTTAATAAGTTTAAATAATATGTCATTCCGTGTAGGTATATCGAATAACAAATAATGTAATATACTTATATAATATCAAGTGCCTATTCAGTTAATATTCTCAATTAATTAAACAAAATTATTTTTAGTAGTGTAAGGAAGTATCATATCAAATATACTATATTCTTACCTTATAAGCACGTCCAGCACGAGGTTATTTAGAAAAAATAAGAAAAGTACATTTTATCTCCTTCAATGTTTCATTAAGTTCAAAACAACCACTTATATACTCGAGTTCTTATGAGTTCTATTCAATTCCTTTAAGAAGCATAATTCTATTCACCATAAAGCTGTATATAAAGCTCCTTCACCGAAAACTATTCATACACGAAAACCCATTAATTTAATAGAACACTTATATTAAATCACACTAACAGAAAACTTACCACACAATTATTAATTCAAAACAAATTACGGTAAGTACAAGTGCACAAGCACAACATGTCAACATAGCATAGAAATGCATAATATAAGTAACCACGTAGGTAATTGAACGAAAATTGTTTCTTCATAATTTTTTTGTATCAGACTAACTTAAATAAATAATATACTATAAAATATAGAATATATTTAATTTATATATTCATTATCTATGTATTTAAATTTAATATATTATCATATGATTTCTGAATGCATTAAAATTTATTAATAAAAATAAAATAAAATAAAATAATAATAAAATTATTATAGTATTATGCTGAATTAGTGCTATATGTTAAAAGTTTGTATCTACCTACTGTCTAACTATAACATATAAGATTGAACAGTAATAATATTTTTATAGACTAGTCGCGTTGTTGATATTAATACGAGTATATCTTAGGTACCTAATATTATTATAAGGCCCAAAGAAAGTTTTTGGTGCATCAATATTTTTTTTTTCTGTTTGTATTTGATTATATTTAGATCTTATATAGTAACATATCACTGAAGTGTAAAAATAAAAATAATTTATTTAATATTAAAAATGCAAAAAAATGCAAAAAATAAATTTGTATAAAATCAGCTGTGCACAAACCACTTCAAAAATCATTAAATAGTCTTTAAATTATAAAGTGGTATTTATAAGGCGTCACATGAATAAATTATGGGTATATTTAGTCTGATATAGGTTGAGTTCAGAAAAATGAACTTTTATAAAGTAAGATATTATAATATTAAAATGGAAAACGTTTTATAATTAAATATTAAAAAAAGAAACATATCAATTATCAACCTATTTTTTTAATACAGTTACCGTATCATTATAATTATTATGATATAACCATAAACATTTGTACAAATGTCCTTGCTATAATATTATTTAAGCTCTAGGTATAGCTGAAATAAAAAAAATAATCGTTTTTAAGTGATCGTACATGCTATTTTGATATTTACGTATCCAAAAGTAGGTACATTACATTAAAATTTATATTTTACTTAAAGATTTTGTTTACATTGTACTAGATAATTTGATACTGAACTTATATTGGTTTATGTTATACTCTCTGGAATTAATGTAATAAATACAAAATAATGGATGATATAACTTTTAGACAGGATAAAATAAGTGTATCGTTTCATGTTTTTTATATATTTAATACTTACTTGCACCTACACCTTGTAAATATTATTTGTACAATATCAATATCGATCGATTTATCGGTATAATATAAACAATCATATTATTATAGCATTAAAATCTGTCAATAATAATACAAGCCACGAATAAAATATGACTGCAATAAACTTTAAATTCCCATTGTTAATATCCGATGGTCGACAGTTGTTGATAAAAATGATGCATATATAATATGTGTCAGCCGATGATGAGAAATGTAGTATTCTCTATTTTATAATTCACAAAATAATGGAATAAACTTTGAAAACTATGAAACCGAACGCAAAAAAAAAACACTTAATGGAGTTTGTGGAATTTTAAAATTGAAATAAAATACTGTTTTTTTAAACAACAGTATTTTATCATTAATAAATAACATACGCATGGATTCATCCTTAACGCTAGATCATAATTAATAAACAAAATAATAATTTATTCACATCGGAATAAAAAATATTTAATACGTATATTAGCAGTCCTTCTATTAACTGTAGTTACATAAGTAATTAACAGAAGGTATTTACTATCATAATGATGGTTTATTCGCTTATAGTTTCTATAGTATGTTATTTCTTATAGAAAAATCAAATGCTATTTCACATCTAGTTAGAAAACTGTTTAATTTTTAAATTCTTAATTAGTAAAAATCACATCATAACAAATCAGTATAATTTTAGATTAGGTCTGGTTATTTTTATGATATGAATGACTATAATACCATATTATTTAACGCCTGATTGAAAATCATCTTGGCCAAAATTAAAACATTTCAATGGTTTTTGTTAAATATATCGAACAGTTGTCAAACCCATTGTTCTAAAATCCTAAACATAACTATAATTAGTAGGTGCTTGACATAATTAATATTATTATTGCTGCTTATTAAATGTAGCAATCGGTTATACAATATTTCTAGTGTAATGATTATTTTCATGTTATATTTTCTGGGAAATATCTATGATAGTATAATACATTAGTTTCAGCTTAAATGTTAGATACATTCACGTCTGCGAAAAACGTAACAATATTGTAAATACCTGCCTAATTTAAAATGTATTTGATTTTTCTCATTTTATTTAATAACAAAAAATTCTAGTAATATAAAATCGTCAATCACAAATGAATAATTGAACCTATAAACATTATTTTATTTTAAATATTTTTTTTCAACCCGGTTGTTTTCAAACAACAAATGAAACCAGGCGATAATTCCAATTGAAATACAGTGCACCTGGGTACATAAATAAATTCGCATAGAACTAAAGTCTTGAAAGGTAAAATTGAGAAATGTTGATATTTTTTTTTTATAATAGATGTACGCATATAAAATTAATAGCCTCATAATCACTCATAAATACGGGTGGTTAAAGTTGTTTATCTTAAAATATTTAGGAGAACATAAAAAAATGTATCTATTAGTTTCCATATTATATTATGTAATCAACAACAGAGTCACTAATATCGATTATCATATCGCGTGGTTATGATTTACTAAAAATTTGTAAAAGTTGAAAAACATTGAATTTGATAAATTATTTTGAGTGACGGTCGGAGTAGTGGTATATGATTTTAGGTTTTGAATACTATTTTCCCAGTAAATCAGATACGCATAATAAAAGACGATCATATCATCAAAATGTATACATTTTTTCCAATCCTTGATGATGAGTGGATGCGAATTCCATGGTTTTCACCGCTACTGTATTATCCCTTGAATAATAAGATTCGAAGCGTTATATGTATGGGTGGTAAATCTTGATGTTTCTCTTTGGACTTCTGGACGATTTAGTACGATGATATGAATCGATCGTTACAATACGCACATGCAATACGACTCAAATATTATACGTATAAATGTATACATTTGTTTTGTTTGATAAGCTTTGGCAACATGATGTATTGTACGATTATTCGGGTGGAGGACGATAGTCGATAATGGACGGAGATGAAAGCTAGACAAACGACGAGCGACAACGATAAAAACGGTCGGAGGCCGTCAATCGTCGTGACGGAATTAAGTCGTTGTTTTTTCGGTCAAAATCGTAAAAACCAATAAATAAATAACGCGTAAAACGGCCATGCACGAGTAAACAATCAGAGACATCTTACTATAGTAACAGCCCCATCTTATAATAATATGTGTCAAATGTAGAAACTGCAGTGTGATATTACAAGAGTACGTAAATTGCGGTAGAGGAACATAGTGTAACGTTTAAGGGATGATAATATATTATTATTATTATTTTTGTTGTTGTTGTTGTTATATAGCGCGTATTTCGGGTCATGCGTGCCTTTGCTCCTGGTGCGGGAATGAGATCCCTTCGGTGGGTGGGCAGGATGACGGTGGTATGCACTCGTGGGCGACAGTCGTCTCGCAGCATCCCCCAAACGCACTCCTCCGGTGGTGGTCTCGCTCCGACGTTCGTCCGTCCCGAGGTACACACGGCCTAGCTAACCGTCCGTATCGTTACGCTGCGTTCAGGTAAATGTTAATTTATTCGTCAATAATAATTATTATTAGATCACAAAATATCATATTGGACGATAACGTTATTCGTCGTAATAATACGTAATAATATGTGACTGTTTCTGATCGTTATTTCTTTCTACATAATAATATGATATTATATTATAATTATATAATGTCATATTATTTAGACCATTCAGAATCAACACAACCGGTAAATTTTAATTTGATTACGAAATCAACAGTAGTATTACATACGAATTTGTGCAGAAGATTACCAAACTTAATTATAGTACCCATGTATATGGACAACATTTTATTTAATAAATTAATATCATAGTATAATACTATTATAATTATAACCATTGTTTGGCATATAATATTATAATTGTGTGAAATTCAGGTTTCTACAAATACGAATGTCATAAAATAAGTGATATTGTTTTAGCTAAACTGTTTTTAATATGTAGTTTAAAAGTCATCGAGGAAAAATAATATGTTTTACTATCAAGCACACAATTCCGGTAGAAGCATTTTATATTAATTTTTGTCGAGTACTCACGAACAATTATTATGTAATTTATTGCAATATATATACTGGAATTTTTCTTAACATGTTTTTATATATTATATATTATATAATATATATTATACTTAGATTATTATTATAATATTTCACTCGTCTGGTTTGACTTTCGATTAATATAAAAACATGTTAAGAAAAATTCCAGTTATAATAATAAGAGGTCAGTTTAAGTGTGCTTTGATATTTTTATCATTGCATTTTATATTGTTTTATACATTACTGATATAAAAAATTACATTTGTTTGTTTGTTTGTTTGAAAAACCCTAAACTAAATACGTATTGTTTTTTTCATATTGGTATTATAAAATATGTATAATGACTTATAGCGAATAAACGTCTTATAAGTTATAACATATCAATTATAACACACTGTGCTAATGAAAAAATATACACTAGTATTTACTATTTACAATATCAAATATGTATATATTACAAATCAGTGAATAATAAGAGAAAAAACTAAAAAAAAAATTATTATATAATTAATGAAACAATATTTAGGTATTCTTCTATTCAATTGTTTACTCCAACCTAGTACAATATAACCTCGTATATAAATATTTTCAAGTATTATGTAAATATTTTTTTCTTTTAAAATAATATAATACAAAAATAACGATGAATTTTTTGAAAAACGCCGCAGAAAATATAAAAATAAAAAATTTTATATTGTTCACGATGTATAGAGTAGATGAAATGATTTCTACGTTCATTTTCTTTTATTTTTCATTCAATTTATTACCAACAGACATCTTTTTTTTATAAAGGAACACATTTAAAAAATGTAATTTATTTTTGGTTACAATAATAGTAAATTGTTTATTAGTTATTAATTTAAAATATTCATTACATTATGTACACTCATATGTATATACCAATTTACATATTTAAATTTTTTTATCATAAACATACCTTTGCCTTTCTTAAACTCTCAAGTGATTTTAGAATAATTGGAAAACCTAAAAAATATGATAATATATTGATACGTTTTATTTATTAATAATTCAAATTGTATACTATAATTAATGTTTTGTATGGTAAGCTATTACATTTTTTAATTTATTGTTTATGTTCCGTATTTTAAATTTCAAAATTTGTCTGTGAACACTTTTATGGTTAGGTTAGTAAATAGTGTACTAGTATCTCAGTGACTATAGTTATATTGATTGCTTGAGAAGTCGTGCCTAGTAAGCATTTAAAATTCTAAGTGAATCGATGAATGTATTAATTTTACAATGATATAATATGTGTGTTCTTTAACAAAGTTATGTGTTTAGGCTAATCACAACTTTTATTTTTCTGCTAATTTTGAGTAGTTAATATCGTGTTACAGTAAATCACCACCTAGGATACTTCTAGTAATCTATACATGACATCATTACATTACTATATAAATCTCATTAATACATTTTTCTTAAATTATATATAATTTAATTCATAATCCAATTTTAATTATTATAATTTTCGATTGTGCCTTATTGAAACTCATCTTTATAAATGAAATTGGTTGATATTCGTAAATATGACTTCAAATTCTGAATGCCGAAGAGCCTATCGTGAAAGTAAACTTGTCAAAGACGAACGTCAAACAATAAATCATTACTACAATATCCCGCTAAAAAATATCTATGATTCATTGTTTTTCCATGCAGCGAAGAAAGTATCAAGTTTTTTTTGTGGGTCTGTCATCTCATTTTTGAGAAGTATAAATAATTCAATTTTCAACTATTAGTGTGATTTATAGTAGCAAATAGTCGGTGCTACTAAGTACTAATTACTAAATTCACAGTACTTACCTACATTTAAAATCAATAAGGAAAAAAAACAAAAAAATAAAGGTATACGAAACAGTTTACTTAAACTCAGTTTTTGACCAAATTAATTTAGCTGTAATTAAAAATTGAATGGATTTTGAAACTCAGGTTCTTCACCAAAAATCTATATTAGCATTTTCTAATTTTCTATACATAATAGTGTAATTTCTAATTATTTTAGGTGTTTTAGCGTTGATTATATTTTTAAGGTTAATGTATGATACATTTTTTTGTGGGTTAAAAAGCATAAAAATTGAATACAATATTGTTCATAAGTTTTGTAACTGGAATTCAAAAAATAAAAATGAGTGTAAAGATAATTACCTACATTTTTATGAGTGACTTAAGTTGAAACTTTAATGATATTGAATATTCAAACTTATAAATTTTTATCCTCTAATTAATTTTGTTATCTGTTATTATTCAAAAATATTAAAAACTTAAAGATTCACCTATTACTTAAATTAATATCTTCTGTTTACAATTTTTTTTTTTCTAAATTTTTTTTTAAAATAATATATTTTATTCATGGTATTCAAAAAGTTTGAAAATATTATACAGTGTTCCTTGTAAGTTGTTTTTAAATAAATTTAAAAATATCAAAAATAAATATTATTTATAGATATTTTTTGTTCAATTTTCATATTTTTAAAAAATCTATAATTGAACAAAAAATAAAGATTTAAATTATTTTGTTTTATTTAAAAAAAAATATGGATTTAAATATGTTACCTTTACTCCTTATATCATTATTTTATACTCACAATGTAATTTTATTAGAAAATATTTTGATTGATTTCAAACTATCTTTAAGATATATATTCACACTAATTATTTGTCATACCCACGTCAGTATTTAATAATGAGTTATTAACAACTAGCCACTTGGTAGTAGTACTATGTGAAATAATATTATAATACAAATTATTATAAGATAAATTATGGGATATGTTATTGGAAAAACTTAATTCAACCTACCGTATTACTTATATGAAAATAAATTACTAATATAAATATACATGGTAGTTACCTAAAAAAATATCCATATGAATATATATGTTAACAAGTAACAGTTCATTTCAACACACAATCCTTTTTTTATTAAGTAATGATTTATTATTGAATCCAAGTTCAACACATATTTTACAGTGCCCAATCAATGACGAACTATACCCGACATCTAATATATACAGCAGAATTACTTCCATGGCTTATTTTTTATTTTTTCCGCGGTTTCCCTATTCAATATGAAAAACTACAACGATATGTAGATAAAATTAAAATACTTAAGGAGATGCATATTTTTTTGTAGCACGTACTAATATAATATAATCCTATTCCCGGTAATATTTTTGAATCTGTAACACAATTCTAAAATATTTGTTTTGCTTTTTTTTGTTTCAGACAATTTCAAATTGTAACTGTAGAATGAATCTGTTTAATTTGAATAGTAAGATGAACTTTAAGTTTTTGTTATCCTATACTGTGTGCAATAAATACATTTTCAAATTATTTTATTTTTTCGAATTTTCTGTTTTCGGGATGTATTGTAGTCAGTAATAACTAATATTATAAAGCATACACTTAGACATATTTAAATACAATTTTAATCATATTTTAAAAAACTGTTCTAACTTATTTTGGTGCTAAGTGTTAGTAATTACTAATACACTAAATTATTTTATTATTGACTTTGTAAAATTTAAATACCACTAGTTCAATCATATTTAAAAAGTGGAACTCTAAATATTTTTAAGATACATTTGAATTGTACTTATCTTCAGAATCAATTTAGAATTATATAAATTATATATTTATATAGTGTATAAAATTTCAAAAACTGAAATATTAAAATGTCATTTTGATTAAATTCAAAAGTAGGTATTACGCAGTACCAACTAGGTACAAGTACTTATATATAGGTGAACATAATATACAATATAAAAAAGCATTTTATAATGACCGTTCAATAGTCTAGCAACAGGTAACATTATATAATTATGAATAACACTCATTTAATTATTATTAAATTTAAAATTATAATGTAAGGTTTCTATTCCATGAAGTGTTGTTACGCGTCACTCTTTTCTAAAACACTTTAACCATGACCTCAGACTTGTTAATATTTTCTTTTACAATTCATATTTTCCTTATTGTAAATAAAATACAAATGTAAAATATTTCTATTTTCAATAACAAAAAGATACAAAAGTCTCAAACCTTCAGGTATTTGAATATTGATTTAAATTTATTTATGTTACTTTTGTGATATTGAATATTGTTGTACCGTGCCTGTAGATAATTAGAATTATACCGATCAAATAATTCGTAAATCATAAATGTCTGTTTATAACTAACATAGAGATGGAATGATGTGTCATTTATTTATAGTGATTTCACGGTTTAAAATATACATTGTATGCATAATTTAACGGCGAGTAAATTAGATTGATCATTCCAAATGTATTATGCATTTTGTCTACATTTTGAGTAACAATTAAAATATTTTTTCTTTACACTTAATTCAGATAAGTTGGAAATTTGAATATTAAAATAGACTAAAATAAATACTTTCCAAAATTATATTTTTACCACGCTGCTCAAATTTATTTTTTTTAAATTTGAATTTAAAGATATTTGCCTTTTGATACAATGGTAACATATTTGTTTTGAAAAAAAACCAATTCAGTTTGCACCATGTTATGTTACATTATAACAATCGTACTGTGATTCTTTGTATGTTTGTATTAACACAACCTCTTAAATGTATGTCAGTAAATGTTCAAACCGCAGAGAAAAAATATACTATGTATTTCTTGAATGATTTCTAACTGAAAAAAACTATGTATTTCTTGAATTATTTATAGCTGTTCATCAAATTCTTATTAATTTAACTATAAGTAACGAGATACTTATAGTATGTACAATACCGTACAACGTAATCGTAATATAAATAATACAAACTTTTTTTAACATTTTTATTTTGTATCATTTATAAATGATATTATAATATTATTTTCAATTTTGTAAATATCATTATAATATTTAATTTATTGTATACAATAATAAAATATTTACAATCACAGAAAATTGTACTTGATAATATTATTATCACGATGTAGAAAGCAATTTTGAACGATTAATTCAGCACATGAAGTCCGGGAAACGAAACTAATTTGACCATTTTTAATTGTTTTACCCTTATAGAACGCCCGAAAAGTATAGGTACTGAAATATCTTATAATAAGTTTTTGTTTGCAAATCAAGAAAATGCTTTAAGGTTTTCATGATTTTATATATAATAAAAAAACTATTCTATGTATCATTATACTTTAATGGTTTTATGTTTGTATTAAGTAGATATTAACTATTAAAATTTTTAATGGCATTACTAACTGTTGTCTCTTACAATTATTAATGCTTATTAAATATTGGTAACCATATATTTTATTGTTACCATATTACGATATATTATTAAAACTAAAGTGAACTATTAATTCACATTTGAATAACTTACATTAAAAAACGGGGAAAGTGCACCTGACGTTAGTAGTACACCTTGCGTTATTGAATAGATCACAGTAATGTAATGGATGTGTTAAATGTAAATTTAATGATCAATTGTTGTATTAGCTATGTACCTATAAGAAAATCATATAATAAGCAGATTCAGTCAATAAGGATATTTTATTGTATATTTAAAATTGGTATTCTTAGTATTTATTTTTCTATTGGTAATACGGTAGTTTGAGACAATTAGTCTATATATTTTAAAAATTGTATTGTGTGTTGAAATAATAATTTAAATAATAGTGGAATGTATCAGATTATTTAACGTTTAATATTTTCTGAATAACAATATGAAGGGCTCCCTGCAACAACCAGACAAGTCCATATTTTGACAACATATTTTAATGTATGAAGATAATAATCGGAATTGTATGGATGGTATGCCATTACAAAGGTATTACTTCTATGAAAATGATTTCATGTAAAATTAATTTTCTGAAATATTGTGATTTGTCTGGTTGCAGCACTGATCCCTTACAAAATAACAGAAATTCGTTAAACTAAACGTTTGAATATATTATAATGTACAAATTAATACAAAATTCGAACTTGGATCGCTCATAAAAAATGCCAGTTACATTATATTGAACTTTTTGTCTAAATTTCATCAAAAAAATGTATTAGAAATCAATTAATTTTTAAGGCTTAGGTGTCAACATTATTAATAAACACTCAAATCGTAGTAAATGAATTGAATAAATTGTAATTCATCTCAAGTCTTGGATTTCAATCAAAGTAAAAATAGATGTATCAATATATCACAATATATCAGTTATGAGTTAGGTATCGAATAATCTTAATCCAAGTAATTTCTTGAATTACCTTATTATTCTGAAAGAATCTAAGCCGCTCAACATACCTCTTCTTTGTTTTGCATGAACATATCTGTATACGCATCCAACGAGGTTTATTGTGTTGTCAGTGATTTTTTTTAAACGTACTTGTAAGTTGTGCATGTTGTACAACCACAATACCTTTTGGCATTTGGGTTCTCTGCCATAAATTATATCTGCAGCTACGCACCCCCAGAACGACCATTTCAACTTATAAACCGCTGTCGGGTTCAATGTAAAATGAATTTGCTTAAATGTTTCGGCCATATTATATACCTATAAATCTACAATACGTTTAAAATTATTTCCGTGCCATCTACTTGTAATCAACCTGGATTCATTTGGTTAGATGATTACATTTTTGGTGATTTACTATTATTATTTTAAAGTTACAAATTAATATTATGTTTACCAAAGCATTGGCATCGAAATTATTATTTATGTACTATTATTTTATTACAAATGACAATATTTTAAGAAGTAAAATTTGTTTTGAATTTACGGATTTATTGTTATGTTATATTTGTATTTAAATCACTTAATTAAGTTATACAGATGTACATATTATGACTCTATGAGCTGCAAAATAGTCCAATTACATTTATTTTTATACTTGTATTTAATTGGATTTAATAAAAAAATGATAGGTCACGTTTAATGGTATTACGACTCAATGTTATACAAATCTAATTCATAAATCATGACTAAAAAATCAAATACAAATAAAAGTTTGTTTAATTTTTATTTAATATCACATTTTTTATGTACTTTTGCGGATCGTTAAAAGAAATAAAAATCACTAATTCATTACAACTAAAAATTGACTTATTATTTCATATAATATTTGAAGGTCACATCTTGATGTATATAGGTTATAACTACTGAAAAACAATTCTAAAACTCTCATAAACGACATACTTTTTATCGGTTTTATAGCTTTTATTAATATATTTTCATTTCTCAAAACATACTATTTAATGTAAACAAAACAAAACAAATACATTAATTATGCATTATTCAAGTCGATGTCGAACATAACAAAAATAATATAATATTATGAGGTTTTTTCCGTAAGTACGAATATATCAGATCATAATATTATGATGTTTAATAATTGAATAATTCTAGGTATGATTTTTATAAATTCTCCTAATATATTATTACTGTTTTTTTATTTTTCTTAAATAAATACTTCAAATTTGAATAAATATTCGTTGTAAAAACTATCCTAAATTTTAATCTTACAAATAACTATAGATTACATTGCTAAATTATTATCATAATATTTATATGTGGAATATATTAATATGTTTCCTATATTTGTGCTACTATACTTTTAAGATATTATGGTTACAATTTAAAAGTCATATTTTATGTGAATACATGTGGCTATAGATCTTTGTAAACAACTTTGATGTTTTTACAACTTACTAAGACATTTTTTCAGGAATTCTATATTACTATATATACTATAATATAGAAACTAACGATTTAGCATATCTAATGTAGTATACATTTACGTATAAAAGCACATTAAAAAATGTTTGAAATAAAAATAATATTAAAGAAGTATGTATGTAACTAATAATAATATTGTGTGTATAATATTTATATTAAAGATAAACGCTTAATCATACATATTATATTAGCATTATTACTATTATAGTTTATTCTTAGTTAGTATATATAGTATCGATGGTCCCGTTATGATTCTACTAATTTATTTCGATCGGGGTTGGTCATACATTAAATTTACAAAAGGTCATACTGATGATAAATGACCACAGAGTTGTAAAATAAGTCAGATAAACCTGGCAGACTTAGAGATTCTAAAGCCATTCATCGTAATTTACCTAACCCTAAAATGACATTGGTAAAATGTGTTCGTGTAACGCACTATCAGTCATCAGACATACGTAATGTATTCATCGTGATATATTACGAAACTCATCCTTTTAATACAATTTAAGGGATACCGAGTGTAAAATTGTATTGATTGGGTCCACTGATTCCGATAAGTCGATGTTCATTCAATGCGTTTAAATAG